ATCACTAAAAACAGGACATGAAAAAAAAGTTAATAAAAAAATATAAAACTGACAAAACATTTACATAATTTACCCCCCAAAAATGCAAAGACAAAGAAAACAAAAAAAAAACAGAAGAGACAATTCCATGGTGAAAATACTCAGGAACTGGAAATGAAGCCAATTTAGCTCCAAATATACTAGTAATTGCATTGTGTGCAAATGGACTAAATATTCAAATGCAAAGGCATATATAAAACTAATGAAAATATTTATCAAAATTAACTCCAGAAAATGAAAATGAGATTTTTTTTTCTTTTGCTGTTTTTGTCTTCTTTCTTTGTTGTTCTGTCTGTTCATTTCTGTCTTTGGGAATATGGGAGAAGGCATAGAAATGGAGGGACCAACGTGAACAAATGCAGTCATGGTAATCACCTGACACTATGTTGAAAATGAACTGAACAACTTGTGGGTGGGGATGGAAAGGAAACGGGAGAGTGAGGGAAGGGGTGACATCGTCCAGAAAGAAATGTACTTTCTACCTGACTTAGGTAACTGTAATGAACCCCTCTGTACATCATCTTTATAATAAAAATAAAAATTCAATAAATAAAACTAATGAAAACAAAAGTTGAGATGCTCCCTGACTTCCAATGATCCTCATTTCTTCTGTGATGAGATACAATGTGCTGCATAACCATCAGCTTCTCACTTCCAGCTCAGTATTCAAGAAATTGCAGGAGGCAGCACTTGCCTATAACTATGACGCCTTGTTTGAGGTGGTTCTGCCCAACTACATGTAGCTAAATGGGTGGGCGGGGTGAGCTGTGAGGTTCTGCCTGTGCACTTTCAGCCATTTACAACCAGTCTGTTTAGAGGGTAGCCTCATTGTCCAACATTGTCCAACAAGGTAAGCATAAGGCACAAGGAAACTGGGAGTGAAATGGGGCAAGGACACACCATGAGCGCATTAGGCACAATAAAGCTAGAGTAACTCAATCATTACCGAAGTTGAAAGCCTTTCCGTGAGTACCCTGAGGAAACAAGGGCGTTTCCTAACGATAAAGGGCCAGTCCCTCAGGGAGCCCAGCACTCTGCAAAGCTTCCAAACACAGAAGCCAAGGTTGTCAGAAGATGGGCTTGCCAGGTCCTGGGAGAGAGAGCTGATCCCAGGGCCGCACCAGGGAAGGGCAAAGGGCCTGGCACTCTGCATTTGGGAGGCACAACAGGGCTCAGTGACTGATGAGCCCGGAGGCAGGGCAGGGGTGGCTCAGACTAGCTGGATCTGGGAAGACATTGAGTTTTGAAGGAACGAAGGAGTGACAGGTAACACCTCACTAAAGCCACCCACACAGAAACACAGGACGAATGTGAGCAGGGAATGCTACAGACACCCAAAGCACCTCACCCCATGCCAGGCCATTTCCCTGGTACATAGTTTGCAGACACCAAACTGAGAAACAAGCAAATACAAGGGGCCCACACCTGAACACAGGGCTTGTGTGGCACCTGCAGGTGTCCAGGCAAGGTGCAGAGTTAGAATCATGAGGACACCTGGGACAGGGGAAGGGGACCAAGGGAGTGGCCTGCACTGCTCACTGTGCAAGGCCAGGAAAGCCTGAGAAGGACAGATGCCCAGACCCAAGGGAACCAGGTGACTGGGAAGGTGTGTGATGTGGGCCAGAACACAACACACAGGACAGCTGTGGGAGTCAATGGGATCTGAAGCTGAATGGGTGCCATGGAATGCATGAAATACCGACTTGGGGCACATTGTGGGGAGCTGGGCATATTCGTACAAAACTGGGACTAAAAAATTGAGGCATGCAGTGGTGACAGGTTGGTAACTTTCTATGAAACGACCCAAAACTTCTATTTACAATACTTGTAGCTCTTCTGTTTGTTCCAGTATGAGAAGCCTTTTAAAATAAAATCGGCCACAAATGAGAACATATTTGTAATACATATCCTCCTACAACTGAATAAGAGGGAAAACGACCCAAAACTGGGCAGAGGACTTGAGAAATATTTGCCTGTGGAAGAAAGAAGAGCAAGTCCAGTTCATGGGAAGGTGCTCAGATTCATTCCCACCACCCTGAAATGCCACTTTGTAACCCATTATAACGGCAAAAAGAGAAGGACCAGACACCCTGAGTGTGGGGTAGGATAAAAAGCCACACGTGCTACTGGCAAGGATGGAAAAGGGTCCCTTTTGCAGTCACTTTTAATACCAAACACACACTGAGCACACATCCTAGAAATCTTACTTGAAGGATTTCTCCAAGACACAAAAGCATAACACTCACAGGCTCACACACAAATACTCATCACATACCTGTAGGTGAAGGGCTAGACACAGCTTAAGCACCCAGAGAGAAGGAAATGGACGAATTTGTGTGCTCACACAGTGCACCAGTGGCTATACAGCAACGGAAGCCACAGGGTACTGCAGGATACTGCTGGGCATGGTGCGGGGCAGTCTCAGGATGGATGCCCAGGTGGGCCTGGAACTAATGGGTGTGCAAGCAGGACTCCCTGTGCCCAAGCCCTGGCCTAGGCCAAGTGAACTTGTGCCCGTAGATGTAGCTGAGTGGTTGCTCAAGGCCGAAAGGAAAACTTCCAGGGTTGATGAAAACATCATAACTGAAGGCAGGTGTGTGTCTTCCTGCACGTGCCAAAGCTGGTGGAACTGCATGTTTAATATCTGCAATTTTTGAGGCTCATTTCTAACAAGCTTAAATTGTACAAGGGGCTTGAGCACACATGTGCTCTCACACACACTCCTCCAAGGTCAGAAGACAGCCCCACACCCTGGAGTACGGAAGGTGGAAAGCAGGTTAGTTTCTTCTGCTTGCTTCAAGAACCTCAGAGCCCTTTCTAAGGATTCAACAATATATGGCTATGTCCCACGGGGCATGTGGCAGCAGAAGGCCCATCTGCATTGTAAGTACTAAGTACCACTTCCAGGTTTACTTTCTAATCGACAAAAATACAAGCTCCATTCTCTATGTGCACATGAAACACATGTGCCATGCTCAGGGCTGGTCCCGTGCTGGGAGGCTCAGTGGCTTTCAAGACCCTGTCATCACACACAGGGCCACCACAGCCCCTGCAGGGTCTGTCCTGAAGGGCACTGCTCTGCATCCGGTGCTCAGCTGAGGGGTCAGGGTGTCTCATTCATCTCAGCCTCGGTGCTCGGTGGCAGGGGCAGAAGTGGTGGCATATGGCTGGATTCCCTTGGGGCCCCTCCCCCTCACAGGCAGCACAGGGCAAAGCCTCCCCATCCACAGCACAAGCACATGGGAGATGGCAATCCTGCATAGACTCAGGCCCAGTGATCCACTCTCAGCAGGGACAGAAGCTGGACAGAGCATCCATGAGGACGGAAGAACCCTGCCAGCTCTAGGCACACAACTCCGGGACAACAGGAGCCAACCTCTCCCTGCACAGCACTGGGGGTGGGGGGTGGCTCGTGGGGTGGGGAACAGGTCAGGCCCTCCATGCTCACACACTAGGGTCCCAGCAGGAGGGGCACTATTAATCTCACTCCAAGCTCAATGTCCTTTTTCCCTCTGCATTTTTATCACAACCACAGACCCAGTGCAAAGGCTCTTTAGACACCTGGCAACACGTCCACAGAGTGATGCCCATCAGCAGCACATTTCCTTATCATTTTCCTGTCTTGTACGAGTAGAGGTGTATTTTCCTCAGTCCTGTCTAAGTACAGGTGCATTTTCCTTGGTCTTGTACAAGTAGAGCTGTATTATTCTCAGTCCTGCACAAGTAGAGATGTATTATCCTGTCCTGTACAAGTAAAGGTGAGTACAGGTGCATTTTTCTGTCTTGTCCAAATAGAGATGTATTTTTCTGTCTTGCACAAGTAGAGGTGTTATTCTTAGTTCTGTACAAGTAGGGTGTATTATTCTGTCTTGCACAAGTAGAGGTTTAATATTCTCAGTCTTGTATAAGTAGAGGTGTATTGTTCTTGATTCTGCACAAGTAGAGGTGTATTATTCTCAGTTCTGCACAAGTTGAGGTGTATTATTCTCAGTCTTGCACAGAGGAGTACTATCTCAGTCTTGCACAAGCAGAGGTACATTTCCGGAACACAGAGGCCTTTGTGGGATTCTTACTTCCCTCACCCCCAGGAGCCTGGGCAGCCTGGTCTACATTTTTTCTAACTTAGCTTCTGGAAAGAGGGTGGTGCATACGAGCCCTCAGGGAAGCAGGAGCTAGTGGACACTCATGGGAGCTAAGGCCTCCAGCCAGGAGGAGAAGACAGTACAAGTCCAGCCTGGCCCTGCATTAGCCACTGGGTCTGGGTAGAGCCTTCTCAGATTTGATCTACAAGACGCACTAGTGGCGTTCAGTCTCCTCCATGGCAGCCAAGTAGCTGGCTGAGAGCAGTCACTGCTGCTGGACTGGAGGCCAGCAATCTCAAGTATGGACACTGCACCTCCATAGGCCTCAGTTCAAGAGGAGCTTATGTCAGGTTGCAGAGCACTGGGAATGGGCTTCTCCAAGCAATGAATGCCCCATCCCTTCCTCCTCCACATGGTTCCCACAAAACTATTGGTCCATCTGCTGCTTGGCAGCTCAGACAGCCTATGTCCTGGGACCCCCACCCAGGGGACAACAGAAGGCAGCATAATGACAGCCACATACTGAGTCAGACTGCATGTGTGGGTCTCAGGGCTCCAGCCAAGGCCCATTTGAGCTGCCTAGTCTCATTACCGTGCAGCAAACTCTGCCTGAGGGGTGCTGACTACCTACAGGGGCAGGTGAGGATGAGGGTCAGAATTCCAACCAAACAAGGTAAGAAGTCCATATGCTGCAGCACATTAAACCCTCTCACCCCTACCTCCAAACAGGGAAGTCCGTACACTGCAGCACATCAAACCCATTCACCCCTACCGCCAAACAGGGGAAGCTATACACTGCAGCACATCAAACGCATTCACTCCTACCTCCAAACTGGAAAGGAGACCATCCCTTCAGAGTAGGCAAGAAAAAAGAACATCTGAAAGATAATCATTTTTAATTTTCTAAGTTCTCACTTATGCAACATAAAAAAGGCAAACTTATATGACCCAATGTGACAGTTTTACAAAAAACATTTCCTCCAACATCTGGTCAGTAGTATATAAATATTTACAATGAAAAAATAGGCAAGGAAAAAGAAAAATCTTCATTATCCAAGTCGATTTCTTTGCAATGCTTATCAGAATTTTGAACATGAACCCTTGGTTCCTCTCAAGTCCTTCATCTTCATAGTGCCTTGGCCGGCAGCTCTGACACACCCAGGCCGCAACTGTGCACAGATGCTCCTGTTCTACATGGCTTTGTGTGCTGCTACTGTTTTACAAGTTACCTGGAGTAGTAAACTAAATATAAAAATGTAAACTTTGGAAGAAAAAGTAAGAACAATCATGTGAAGGCAATGCATCAAGACAGATGTTCTCACACAGGTTATTATTACAACACTAATACCAAAATAAAATGTGCTGGATTTTCTTAGCAGGGACATCTCTCCTTTCAATTTAATATGATCACGGTACCAAAAACTGCCTCTAAAGAGAATGTTAAAAATAGCATTACATTACCATCTTAATTTATGAATATACCACTGTCCTAGTTCTTGTTAAACCAAGTGAAGTTTATATATATAGATATATTTTTTTTTCAGTGACAAATATAAATGGCATCCGTGGAGAACTTAAGGCCCAGCACACCGTGGTGCCTCTGGACCACTATGAAGACTTCAGAATGAATCTGAATGGCACAAGCTGACCTGTGCAGCTCAGGGATGTCACAAACATATTCATCTCTAGTGCATGAGACATGACTCAATCCACCAGACACCATGTCACCGCAGTACTGCAGCCCTCATGGCGGACGGGTGGCTGCCTGCACTGTGCCAGCTGCCCTGAGGGTCAACATGTGCACTGACGTCTAGTAACGCTGGTCACAGCGTCTGCTGCTCATGTGTGGGAACTGCGCCGCCCTCGAGAGCCAAGAGACACTCGGAGCCTGGGCTCCCTGGCTTTATAATGTTCATTGAAGTCCAACCTGAAGCTGAGAAACTGCAGACTTTCATCAGGGCTGGTTGTCAGAGACACCAAAAACTGTTGCACAATGCCCTAAAGAGAAAAACAAAACAATACATGAACTCAAAAAGGAACCAACCATGCACGGCTTCTTCCCAGTCCCCTGTGGGTTTGCTTTTACATCAAGCTTTAACAGACACCTTCTGGGCAGGTCCCCAGGAGACAGAGCCTGGAACCCTGGCAATGGCTCCACCAGTACCACCCACATCAGGAGTGACTGTGTTTACAAATATAAATGAGCAATGCATATATTTTATCTAAAACCAACTGACCAACTGACTTTCCCTCTTAACTCTGAATAAACTTTCCCTCTTAACAGGAATAAACAAAGTAGCTGGTGATACATAAGGCACCGTAATTTTAAATTGAAAACAAAAATCAGCCACACTTTTCATCTTTCATTTGACTTGCAAAAGTGTATTTAATTGTCATGTCCCGATGGGAGAACAAACAGCATTTTTGCATGGAGCTGCAACTGCAGTCTCCTGCCGCCACAAAAGATTAGAGAGGGCCACGGTGGTCACCAGTGTTTAAGGCCCTGCTGCTCACACCCTGCCCACAGCACTTCCCGGCTGGCAGACAGGATGAAGCTGCTCACATCTCTGCTCCAGCTGCCATGGAGAAGCCCTCCTTAGAGGAGGGAGCCAGGCACCCTGCAGTCCTCACCAGCCACTGCTCCCACTCCTGGTGGGGGCCCAGGAGTGCACGGTGTGCGGCACACTGCAACACACACAATGGATGTGTGAGCCCAGGAGTGCATGATGTGCAGGCACACTCACACACACACATGGATGTGTTTCTTAGTGATAGGGAAAGAGGGCCCCAAAGTAATTACACTAGCACAAATATAGCATCTGTAGTACGCTAGGAGAGTCCCAGGAGAACAGAGGGTTTGGTCTCTACCTGGAGGAACAGTGGGGGCTCCCTCATGGGCAGTGCCAGTGGCTCCGTAGCTTGCGCTAGAAGCTGGCTTGGTAAGAGAGGGTCAGCTCTGCGCAGAGCTGGATGGCTCTGGCTAACAATCCAGATGTACAGTGCAATCCGAGTAAAACCAGAATTACATTACATAATTCTCTTAGAAATGTATGAGCCCTGTCAGAGAAATAGGTGACTATCAGCCAAAAGCTGCAGACTTCATGGGAAGTTTTTAATTACCCATAGCTACTTTGCACTTGACTTTAGTTCTTAGCAGGGGAACTACCCAGTAGTGCCCAGGAATGCACACAATACACACAGCACCAGGTTTCTGCACTGAGCACAAATCAGTCACCACCACTCCTGAAATATGTCAATGTTGAGAAAGACTGCTGCCCTCTCAGTGACTACGGAATTGGGCTGGTGATGGGGCTGCTTCAGTCTGCACCACAAGAACACACACATACACAGAGGCAATCTTAAAAGGCTTCAGGTCAGCTGTCTGTCTAACTAGCCATCAGCAAATGAATGCAAGAAGGGGCAACGCGACTCCCAGGGCAGCCTCGCTGGGCCACCTGCGGTCTTGTGTACAAGCCCTTGGCTGGTACCCCGTCCGCAAGGCTGGTAGCAGGAACAGTCATCCTTCTGTGTGTTCACAGGAAAGCCACTTGATAGGCATGATGCTGCAGGTCCTCACACCCACCGCTCAAGGGAAGCCGAGATGGAAAGCCTCCAGGGAGGACCACCTGCTCCCCAGGGCACTCACTGCTAACATCAACACAGGCCAGAGCCAAACCAAGGGGACTGGCTCACCTATGACCATTCTGAAAGCAACTGTCAGCTACACAAAGGGCCACAGCAGTTCGAATTCTAATAACGCACCTGATAAAAGTGTGTTAATATCCGCAACTGTGAACACATTTTTGGTATAGATTCCTGAAATTCTCGGATCCTTCTGTTCTCCTCCTCTTCCTCTGCAGCTGTCACTCCCCACTGGCCCTGAAGAACCAGAAGTATACCAAATTCAACTTTCAATAACTACAGCATAAGGCTAGAGGATGAAAATATTGTGATTCATTCCAACCAGTATTTTTCCATTACCAACAATCGGTAATGAATAGCCCTTTATCTCTGTTATTCTGCACACTTTTTTAGTCAGAAAACACACATGAGAAGTAGAACTAGTGGGTTCAAAGCCCTTATCTCCACCTCATCACTTTACAGATATACTGCCTATTTCCATTGTATTTATATTTATATAAATATATATTTATATTTTATTTATTTATTTACTTATTTTGCCAGTCCTGGGCTTGAACTCTGGGCCTGGGTACTGTTCTTCAGCTCTTCAGCTCAAGGTGAGCACTCTACCACTTGAGCCACTTCTGGCTTTTTCTGTGTATGTGGTGCTGAGGAATTGAACCCAGGGCCTCATGCAAGACAAGCACTCTACCACTGAGCCACCTTCCCAGCCCCTATTTCCATTTTAAAAGATTATTTCTAATCACAAATTTGACTGGGTGGCTTTTTGGAGAGCATAATGCTGGAATTACTGAATTGTTTTTAATCAATCAAAACCTGATTTCCTAAACCTCCACATCCTGCAATAAACTTCTCAGTAGGTTATTCCTTTAACTGCTGTTATACTTTTGCACTTACATTCTATCTAAGATTTTTTCATCAATATTTCTAACATAGGTCTGTTCTTTCAAATTTGGTATCAGCCTCAGGATGTTTTCTGGAAAGCACTTACAAGCTCCTTTCTCTATGACTGGGATGCTAACAGCACGCCAAGCCAAGTGCCGAGACCGGGTACAGGAGACTCTCAGCACTCCAGCTGACCTGGTGGGTGGCGGGGCTCTTCAGTAACTTAATTCTCTTTCAGAGCATCACTCAGCTCATCCTGATGTCACTTCTGGGGTCAGTTTAGAAAATCTGTGGAAGGTCATTAGGTTCCTTCACATACGCAGATTTACTTCCACAGACCGGAGCAAAAATAATTTTGTTCTCAGTTATTTATATTTGTTCACTTCCTCCCCGCCCCCACTAAACACTGTTTTTTTGTTGTTGTTATTTTTTATTATTTGTCGGTCATGGGATTTGTCGGTCATGTCGGAACTCTGGGCCTGGGTGCTATCCCTGCGCTCTTCAACTCAAGGCAAGCATTCTACCGCTTGAGCCACAATGGTACTTCTGGTTTTCTAGTGGTTTACTGGAGATAAGAGTCTCAAGGACTTTCCTGACCAGGCTGGCTTTGAACCATGATCCTCAGATCTCAGCCTCCTGAGTAGCTAGGATTACAGGCGCAAGCCGCTGGCGCCCGGCAATACTGCTTATTTTACTTCCCACCATCCCCCGTCTGCATCCCACGTATAGTTTTTCTGTCTTTGGAACCATTATTTCTTGCTCTCATCTTCACCAATTTTGCCCTTTGGCTTTCTGTATAGTTACTTTATTGCTGTTCTCCAACTCTTGAGAGGATATTTAGATTTACTTCCATTCCTCCAGTTGATGAATATAAGCAGAGGGTCATGGATTTTCATATTTATGTCTTTCACAGTCTGAGATAAACAAATTGTTCCAGTAAATATGACTTATTTAATAGGAATTGGTTAGTTATTCATCAATTTCTAGTATTAATTTCCCCTTGTATTTCCTAGCAGCTTTCTGACATGACTGGGAACCTACCTCACTCTCTTATCACGTGACACCCTCCTGCCCATCTCATCATCACAAGGTTCCCTTTCCCTGTGCTTCTACCTCAATGTGCCACCTCCCCCAAGAGTGGTTACTGTGTCAGTCTGCACATCCTGTCCCTCCCATACTTCTGCATCACTGCCTTGAGTCTCCTTTGCAGAGGCCAGAGGCCCTTCTAGGTAATTACCGTGCGGTACACCTCACAAAAACTGTCCTCGAGGTACGGAGTCCTCAAATGTGCTACACTTTTCTAGGACACCTTGCTGGTGTGGCAGGCATGTCTGCTCCTGGTCCTGTCTTCATCTTGGTGATCTGCTTTATAGTGCTGGAGGATGGAACCCTTCAGTGCATGGTCTGTATTTCCCCTGATAACTTGGGAGTCTGTATTTTGTCCTGGAAGTTATCTCTGTAACTTTCCCTCAATTTCATCATCTGTTTGGGTAGCAGTAACACTTTGACTAAGGTAATAATGACTACTACACTTCTCTGGTCACCCAATTTTAAAATACATTATTTTCACATTGATATGTTTAACAGCTCTTGACATACTTACACCTATTTATTTATGAGCTCTGTAAATAGTACCATGTAATGCTTCACTATGAAAGACAGGTTAGATATTTATAGTTCTTCCCACCTCAGCATCCCCTGCAACTTTCCTCTTTTATTTACTTAAAACAATTGCCTCTCTGCCTCCCCTTCTTCTTTTTTTGTTTTCGCAGTGTCTGGAATCAAACCCAAGACTTCTTACCTGCTTCATAATCTATACCCTTAAACTCTCAACAAGTCTTAAAGATGATATTTAATTGTGTTATAATGGATTAAAACACAGAGCCACACAGAGGCAGTAGGACAAGCAAGCTTCACAGCACTCAGGGCACAGAGTGCAAGGATGGGAAATGATCCCAGGCTCCCAGAGCCATGCGCTGGGCATTCAATGCTGAGCTGTGGGCCCAGGAGCAGCACTACGCTGGGCTATGTATCCAGGAGCAGTGTCACACTGGCAGGGCACACAAAGTTAGTTCCAGTCTGTACCTCCTAGCTGCCAAGTTGTTTTGAAGTTTCTATATAAATAGGACTTGTATTTCTCTTGTTAAATTTTACCATTCTTTTAATGCTATTTCTTTTTAAACTTCATCCTGTTTGTTGCCAATAGAAAAAAGTCCATTTCATTGCTACATACTACTCTTGTTTCTATTCACTTTGGCAATTTACTTATTTGGGCTTTCCTGTGCCCACCACCTTTGTGGAAAGGTGGCAGCATATTCACCCCTTCTGTTTTGTTCCTGGTCCACACAATGTCAGAACCGCCAGCACACAGTGTGGCTGCAGGACTGCCAGCATGCAGGGTGGCTGCAGGACCGTCAGCATGCAGCGTGGCTGCAGTACTCGCCTCAGTCTGACATGGAAATGCTCCACTTCATCAGTGAACAGAGGTGCTGTACAGCTCCCAGGCAACTCTCTCATAGTATTAGCCACTTGGTTTGTTTTTTCTTGAGTGCATAAATGCAAATTCAAGTTTTATTAGAACGATACAAAGAGCTTTCTGTTCTTGGGATAATCTTGGACATGTCATAACATCTTCTTTGTCTTAAGTCACGGTTTTCTAACACTTTTTGGAATTTTTATACACATATTCATGAGAGAAACTACTATTTAGAGAGTAGAAAAATTGGTTCTGACTTGATGGTTTTACAAATTTGACTTTAGAAGCCAGTAAATAAAAGAAATTCCTACTAAAAATTAAAATAAAAAATGAAACCAACTAATCAAAGTGTATATTTAGCATGCCCTTTAGAGTAATTATCTCAAAGTACATTTATGCTGTGGAATCTGGCTGCCCTGGAGACATCAGCACAAGGCCACCCCATCCACGCTGGGAGCACTTATCCACGGAACACTGCCTGACTCGTTCTAGAACAGGATGAAGATGAGGTGACCACTACATCTTCAAGGACTTACTTCATTCACCTCAGTGGAGATAAACACAGCCTCTACTAGTAGAAGACTTCTGCAGGAATGCTATTCTGCTGCACTTGTGATCACTGTGGCGAAAAGCAATTCATTACTGGAACCGATCAAGCCACCCATATGAAAAACATACCTCAATTTCACGCTGCTTCTTTTTCTCTTCAAATTGTAATCGTCTCTGTAATTCTTCCAGAGCAGCTCTATATATTGCGTCTTGAGTATTCTGAAGTTCAATAATCTGATCAAACACAGCTCTGAGTTGGTTTAAAAGTACCTGAAAAGAGATGACTGTATTCAATGAATAGAACCTCAACATGCTTATTAAATTTTAAAATACTTCTAATTGGAGAAATAATCTCTTAAAGTTTGGGCGGGTCCCCAATATGACGACAGTGAAGGCAGAGGGACTTGAGGAGGTGTCTGGGTCTCAGTCTCTGCACTCATGAAGAGCTGCTCTCCAGGAACTAGTGGATCTTACAGGAGAGAACTCTCACTCTCCCAAGAGGGAGACCCCTCATGTTCCATCACACATGCCCACCTACTGCCTTCTTGGCTTCTGTGTCATGGGACAGAAAGAGCCCTTACCAGAAACCAGATCCAGCCTCCAGAACCATGCACCAAAACAAACCTCCATTCTTTATAAACTGCTTAGTCTCAGGTATTGTTACAGGAGCAGAACACAGAGACAGTACTATAAAGAACACATCACATCAACTTCTCAAAGTATTTATTGTGCAATATCTACTCCAAGCCACATTTTACAACAGGCAAAACACTAATGCCACTCGTGTTTAGATAGTTTGTCCCCCCAAATGCTTGACCTTGGCTTGGAGACCTTGTCCTTGAGCTGCTGAGACCACTAGGAAGTGATTCGGTTAAAGAGGAATTAAGTCTTTCCCATGAAACTGGTCTCACTGTTGCAGGAATGAGCCAGCTACCATGTCACTCTGTCCTGGGCCTTATTGTCCTTATAGTTTCTGCCCTGAGCAAAAGCAGCACGTGACTCCCTCCAAAAGCTGAACCCTTGTGGGTTAAAAGACAAGAGAAAGTCTTTTCTCTGTGATTACTCAGATATTATTATAATTGTCCTAGCAAAAGGGATGAAGACTGCAGTAGCAGCAAGAGCTATATGGTGAGGCTGAGGATATGTATGTAAGCTTCTCTACAAATTATCCCCAGTTCCACAACAGCAACACAAAAAAGAAAGTCTGCCCTGAATTTCAAAGCCAGATAGGAAGTAGCTGAGTTAAGAGGGAAACTATGCTGAGGATTCACAGAGAATAGGAAAGTCTTGTTTGTTTTTGAGATATATCAAAACTAGATAGGGAGATTATGACAAAGGAAAATCTTAGTAAAAAGATTTGAAAAAAATGTGGAATGAGGAATGAAAGAATGGCACAAACAACACAAAAACAGTACAAGTGGCAGGGTAAAGAACCAGACCTGAAGTAGGGAAGGCAATAAAATGCAACAAATTCTATTTGACGAAGAGGCAAAGCACCTTTCCTGTGGGAATAAGGCATGATTGCTTTGTGTTTACCATGGTCCTGGGGGACAGGCCAAGGAAAGGCAACAGGAGAGAGACCAGCACATATGTTCTAAGAAAATATATGAATAAAAAACAGATAAAAGTTCACAGTAAAAAATAGACATGACATATCTGTTAACAGCAGCACTTGGGAGACAGAGGCAGGAGAATCTTGAGTTTGAGGACTGCTTGGGTTATAATGTGAGGCCCTGTCTCAAAAAACAAAAACAGAGGACTGGAGGTACGGCTAAGTTGTAGAGCACTAGCCAGTGAAAGCCTCGGGTATCGAGTTTGAGTCCCAGTCTCAGACCTTAAAAAAAAACAATTCAAAGTAAAACCATCAATAGCATTTTAACAAGATTTGTAAGAAATTTAAGAGAGAAAGATGCTATAGCTGTATTGAGGTACAGAAAAAAATTCAATGTCTGAGCAGGCTCTTTGTCCACTGTTTGGAAGACACACTCCAGCCTGTGTAGGGAAGAGCTGATCTTGCATCAATTCACTTTGCAACGGCTACCTGATACATGGAGATGTTGTCCTTTTGTGAGTAGACAGCTTATTCAGGTTCAGAATCTGTTTACTCAGAGCAGTACCACTAAGAGAAAGCTAATGTCAGAACTCAAGTGAAAACAGACCTGAAATGAGTATTTGGTAAGCAACTTCTGGAACAGGCTAACTCAAGAGATGTCCAACATTAAAAAACCAAACTCATGTTCTCTCCTATTTGGTACAATGTAGTTGCATGAAATAGGGCCTTCAAAATAATGTGGACTTAATTTAGAGGCCGTGAAAAGAGTCTGATGAAGTGGTATTGTTCTCAATGTCAAGCAAGCACTTAAGCATGTTCACAACAGCTGTTCTGCCCCTCTGGAGGAGTCTTACTTTATGATATCAAAGTAAAAACAAAAGATGGAGGTGGTTGTCATTTCTGTTGCTGTTTCTTTGAGACAAGAGTCTCACTCCTTTTGCCCAGGCTAGCCTCTAACTCCTGACCTTCCTTCCTACCTCCACCACCACGTACTGAGGATCCCAGGAGTGCACCGCACACCATCTTCTTTTTATGTGTAGCAAGGATTTACTTCTTTTCTCTATTTGTGTCTATTGTAGCCATGCGAGAAGCAAGTGATCATACTTCAAACGATGAATTACCCTCCAGCTAACTGACACTCACTTCAGAGTAAGGATAGGCTGGGGCTTCTGTCAGTCAGCTCAGATCACACACTGGAGACTCTAGTTTTAACCCTTAAGAACACAAAAACAACACTTTTCTGCCCCTTCCTGTAGTGCCTCCAACTCAAATCACACCACGTGCCCTAGAATCACTTTGGTTTTGTAAAAAGTACTACCATGAAAATATACTTTAATTATTTGCGTGATAAATACTCTGGAGACCACAGTAGTGGTGCATACTTACAATCCCAGCACTGGGAAGCTGAAGCAGTAAAACCTACCTCAAATAAAAAAAAAAAAAGAAGAAGAAGCAGCAAAAATAAAAATTCACAAATCAAATCCTTAGACCTCAGCAGAGGCAAAAAACCTCCAATGAGGCTGATCTGGGCTAGCCTCCACCCTCCAGCTCCCCACCACCATCTCCATGAGAACACTATGCAGAAATGGACCATTTCCCCCAGATTTTGTCCCTGTGACAGCTTAACTTGCTTCACACAGAACTGCTCTGTCTCCAAGTGGGACATTTCCACTTCCTCAGCAGCGTGTCCCTGGGACCTGCTCTATGCTTGCCAGCCCACGCCGTACAGTGAGCTCCTTAGGATCCCTTGCCTCTGTCACACAGGTTCATCTCCTAATTGCTTTCAGTGTGTAGCAGCTAGCACTGGCAGGCCAATCGCCATGGTAAACACTCTACATAACCCATATGTGATTTTCACAACCTTGCCAGGGAGAAACCAGCATCAGCTCCTTCAAATAGGAGTAGTATTCACAATAGAGTAGTATTACTCTCCCATATTTCCATGTACATCAGAACCTGTTCTTGTTTTGATCACCATGCTCGAATTCTGTTCAGAAACAGTGAATCTGAACCATCAGACGTTAAAAAAAACTGTCTTAATTATTACCAGTGTGGCCAGTTTCTAGGAAACTAGATCAGTTTCTATTACCAGGCAGTTTTTAGGACTCTTCCAAGAGAGAAACCCAGGAACTTGTGTGTCTCCACGCCTTAGCCTGGAGCTACTGTCCAGGAATGGGTGGGTTCTGAGCCTTACCCTGGAGCTGCTGTCCAGAAGGCAGCGGGAGGTGATGGTATCCAGAAAAGCCTCATGTGCTGCGATGATGTGGTCCAGGTCCTGCGCCTGCTTCACTCTGCTCCAGAGCTCATCCCAAGAGCACTCAAGCACCTGGAAACAAGGATGGACACTCTAGAGGGGCAAGTTCTTCATGGAGCAGAATCTTTCATACTACTGAGTTACATTAAACTCAACAGGAAGCTCCGCCTACCTCAAACGTGATGTAATACTGCATTTGGTGAATGAAGTGTACCATCTCTGAGGCCAGAATGTGACACTGATGTAGAACCCCAGAGAACTCTGCAAGAAAGGCAACGTGAGGTCAGCGGAAGGAAAGTGCTCGGTGACAATGCCGCTCTCACTTCTCTACCTGCAAGGCAGCTTTCAAAAGTAACAGGAGCTTTCCATCCCTGCCCCTCAGCAGGAAATGTCTCCACCACAACTACTGAACAAGGACATAGCTAACAAATGGTAAGTAGGAGATTGCCAAATATATAAGACATGACACAAAATACAATCCGATTTAAAACTTAAGCAGAAATGTTTATTTCTAAAAACGCATCCTCATAAAAAAACGTATGCTCTATGTTATGGCTTTACAATGACTCTCGTGTGTAAAATACTTAAGTTTCCTAGCAATGTGGAGACAAAAGCCATCTCAAGGACCCTCAAGGAAGGTGAGCCAGCACATCAAGGCGGGACCACGCTGCTGTGTCCTCAACAGCTCCACCTCACAGCCACAGGCCTGCCTTTTGCCCTCCTGTTAACATGCTACTCAAGACCACATCAGGATCTTCTCACACTGAGGTACAAGACATTCAGACTAGAGGCAGGCCTGCTGGTGGAACGACTGTAAGATGATCGTTACACAGGTCAGACTGGACACACTTCTGCAAGACCGCTCTGCACGTCCTCCATTCACAACTCAGACAGACAGAGACTGGTGAGGCAAGAAGGAGTGTAAGAAAACAGTCCACAGACTTTTAAAAATACTTCTACCATGTTAAGATGAGGTCATGAGAGTAAGCCTAATCCATCATCTGTTTTCATAAGATAAGAACACAGAGGGTGACATGCCCATAAGGGGCAGAAGGAATTCCAGCCCACAGAAGCAGCTGAAGAATCAAGACAACCCCTCTCCACCAGATTTATAGGGAGCCTGGTACAGTCACACCTTCCTTTGGAAGTCTGGCTCCAGACTTGTGACCCAAATGAATTCTGTTGCCTTAAGTGGCATGGTTTATGGTCTTTTCTTGCAACAGTGCTGGGAAAAGAACACCCCGGTGACCAGCTCTGGGCTTCCCCGACAGACCAATACATTTAGGAAAGACACTAAGGTGGGTACACTGCAGGTCCACTGTCCTGATGCAAGGAGAAAATGGAGGAGCTGACCCAAGTTTCATGAAAGTTTAAATTCTTCAGCAAACAATAAATATATGACCAAGCCAACTTTAGTGACCATATTAGTGTATGTGATCTTCCTTTTCTACATTTTCTTTTCTATGAAAACTGCCACGTTATAATGTGTCTACCAGTGGCACAGAGAACATGATCTAAGATGATACCTGAGGTAGGAAATTGCCTACCAGAAATGATTCTGATCACAGGGTCCCCATCACATGTGCTATAGCATGGGGTATCCTAGAAGGAGTCTGGATTCTCTTTACCTGATACTCTGGAAGCATGCTGAAAATGTTCTCCCTCAAGTAACTTCATAGTTCTTAGACTCTCAAAATCAACACTGGCAAAGAGTTCCACTAAATGCATCAAGCATACTTTGGTATGTTAACACAAATGCAACACAAACTCAAGGACCATTAATTTCTTTAGCATAGAGTTAAGACTCATTTGTATATCTTTACTGCCCTCTAATGGCTGCTAGAAGAACTCCAGTGTGAGTCCTCTGAGGGTAGCTCTGAAGCATCAAGTTCATCTGTAATGAATATTGTGAATCACACACAGCTTCAAAATCTTGCTTAGTTAGTGTTTATATCTGGTGCTATTCTATTTAAGAAGAATTTGATCAAAATATCCATTAAATTTATTTTCTCAAGGCTCTGAAAGGATTCAATGTTTTAAAGACCAGGATTTTTCCACGTCTTTCCAGGATCTAATGACCCTTGTGGTTCCCTTCCTAGTACCACTCTGTGTGTGCTGCCTGCATCAGGGCAGACGTCACTTGGTGAAGATGGCTGTCAACTCCCAATGCTCTCCTCCAGCTTGGGACTGCTCAGAGGCTCCCAAGCAAACTTACTCCCGACAGAACTAGGTAGGCAGTGCTATCACCACCTCCACAGAGTGAAGATTAGGAAGAGGGCTGAGGTCACACAGCCAGGATGGTGGTGACCCAGTCCTAGCTTGTACACGCAGCACAAGTGCCCATGCTGGTAACAGCCTAAGTCAGGCACAGAGAACTTTCCATTTTTTTGCATAAATACAGAGAACTCACCTATTCACACAAAACAAGATAAACAGAAAGCTTCAATTCATCCCAAGTCTGAATCATTGTCTTTGTAAGACACATCATTATTAAGTCTATCACCACAAAAGAAGATCACTGCCACACTGCTATGCCCAGGGAGAGGAGGCACTCGCCTGGAACCCCACATACATCCTGGGCAGGCCCAGAGCAGCTCTGGATCTGCTGGTCCAGAGGGTGAGGCCTGCAGCTCAGGCAACAGGACACTGGCCCTTGAAGGCCCAGGCACACTCCAAGGTTCTAGATCCACCTGAAGAATCCCAGGCCAAGGCCAGTCCTTGGATCATCCTGACAACCCAGGAAGCACATGATTCCTAGCATGCAGGTCAACCCCAGGAGCACTTCTGTTCTTCTTCCATTCATGTTAGCTCATTCTTGGGCTTATATTGTTACAAGCTTCCATTTTTATTTTCAAACAAACTTGCAAGACAAAGTAAGTATGGATACACAGTTAGGGGCCCTGGGCCAGTCATTTCCCACGCTAGAGCTAGAAATACTCTCCACACTAGGGAGGTGTGACTGAGGTGTCCAGGGAGCCCTCTGCTGGTGGGGGAGCCTCCTCCCTGCCGGCCTCAGAGGGTCTCCTGGGCAGAGGAGCACTCAGCAGGTGGCATGGCCACTTCCCAACTAGAAGGCAGTTGGGACTTTTGATAGACCTTTTCATCATGCAGTAATCTGATGAAAAATACTCACTGAAAAATAATTATTTACTTTCTTTTAAACCTATAGAACTCTATTATCTTCAAAATTAAACAGTGAACTACAATTTAATGTTCTCTATCGCCAACCATTTCAGAGAATTAACGTTTTATCACAATTTTCTTTAACACTCAGTGTCTAAACATTATTTTTTGTCTCAATAAATGTCTTAAAAAAAAAATAAAAAGGAAGTGCCAGTGGCGCTGTAATCCTAGCTAATCGGGGGCTGAGATTTAAGAAATGTGGTCCAAAGCCAGCCTGGGCAGGAAAGTCTGTAATACTCTTATCTCCACAGGGGAGAAAAAAAAAAACAAAAAACCAGAAGTGGAGCTGTAGCTTAATTGGTAGAAAGCTAGCCTTGCGCAAAATAAGTTCAGAGACAGTGCCAGGTCCAGAGTTCGAGCTCCAAGACCAGCCCACCCCACTCCCCAAAAAATAACAGCAAAAGGAAAACAAAAGTAAGTATAATTCCTGGGTCAGACTTAGCTGAGGATCTTACTGTACAAAAATGTGCCTCAGTTATTTGTGAAGATGAGTGCATTTTGATTTTTTTCTTGGGAACATAGGAAGCTCACTTTATTTCTAGTAAGGCCCAGGCAATCACTTTATGGGGGAAGGAAAGCTAATCTGCTCCTTTACTACCACCCAATGGCTAGGAGAAAAGACAAGCTCCTTTCTCTACCCTTTCCATTTCAACTTGTGACATAATCTGAAATATGAACATAGCTACAACTACTAGTAACATTCAGATTAACTGAACCTAACAAACCAATTTAGTGTTTACTAGCTATCTAGCTAGATAGCAAACATATTGAAAACTCTGCTCCTATCCAGGGCTGACAAAAAGAAAAGATCTCACATGAGAAATGGGTATGGGCCTTCTGGCAAACTATCATCAGACACTCTTGTCCCAAGAGACTGCTTTGCCTCAAATTCTACACTCTGCATGGAACCAGCTGGTTTTTTTTGATGAAAATTAGCAAAACCTTCTCTGGAGTGATGGTTGTAGTTGCCTTAAGCATGACTGAGCTGTCCTTCACATTGTGTGTGAGAACTCCACAGGAGCATTTTATAAGACCTCTCTGTATTTTGCCTCTGATTTTTGGATGGGGCATTTCTAAATATGCTACATTAACAAGAATAACTAACTGCTAAATTTCTGCTCAGTAAGTTGCTTGGTCATGAACAACTTTACTTCTTTATAATTTATATCTAAGAACACTAACATCCCAAAGCTGGGAGCCAGTGGCTCACGCCTGTAATCCTAGCTACTCTCAGGAGGCTGACATCTGAGGATCACGGTTCAAAGCCAGCCCGGGCAGGAAAGTCCATGAGACTCTTATCTCCAATAAGCCACTAGAAAACCGAAAGTGGTGCTGTGGCTCAAGCAAGTGGTGCTGTGGCTCAAGCGGTAGAGCGCTCGCCTTGAGCTGAAGAGCTGAGGGACAGTGCCCAGGCCCAGAATTCAAGCCCCATGACCAACCAAAAAAACAAACAAACAAAAAAACTAACACCCCAAAAGAAGCAAAACAAAACAAACTCCCAGTTTTCTGAAAAAAGAAATATAAATAGTAATTTTAAGAGCATAAAGCACACCAAAATGAACCTCCACTTTCCCTTATTAAACTTATTAATTTAAATTCAATAGCCATGTTGGGGGAAAAATACGCAACTTTCAAGTGAGGAGAGCTGTGTTTATTGACATATAAACTAAACTAGTGCTTGCTTCCTGCCTGTAAGTAACATAATCTGACAATATGTAGCAACCAAGTTTTCAATTTGAAAAGCGGGGTAGGAGTACTGCTCAAGAGATGAACATCTGCCTCTGAAGCATTAGATCCTGAAGTTCAAACTCCAGTACTGCCAAAAAAGAAAAAGAAAAATTTTATGGTCTGAAAAAAATCTAGCAATTCTCAATTTTCTTTCTGTCTCCACTGAAGAAAAGTAATGTTACAAATAAGCCTTTTGGCAAAAACAAACTTTAAAAGCAAATAGTGAGTCTCTTTGAGTTCAATTACTTTAAGTAAGCTTCAACCTCAGCAGAGTTCCCAGAAACCAGCAACAGTGGCACACGTGTGCAGGGGTGGTTACCTGGCATGTGGCACCCATGGGTGCAGGGGTGGTTACCTGGCATGCTCCTCAGGAGTTTGGCGTTGCACATGTGCCCCTTGCGGATGTCGGTGAGGATGTACTCCATGCGCTTGGCCCTCCAGAGGAAGTTGAACACTCTCAGATAGTGGCTCATGCACTCTCGAGTGAACACCTAGAGTGCAAAACAGAAATCAGGTCACTGGGCCAGCCCAGACTTTGACCTTCAGACATCAGCCAACATACAACTCCAGTGTATCCTAAGTGGTATGAAAATACGACAGCACCTTACAGAGTGTTATATTCCATAACAGCAACCATATTTACATACCTGGTAGACTCACACAGCACAAAGCAGCTATTTATTTTTATTGGCCTTTGGGCTTGAACTCAAGAGCCTAGACACCATTGTCCCTGGGCTCTTTTGTTCAACACTAGTGCTCTAACACTTTGAGCCACAGTGCCAGTGTCTGAAGTCTCAGGGAATTCGTTGTCCAGGCCAGCTTTGAACTACAATCCTCAAGATCTTAAGTCTCATGAATAGTTAGGATTACAAACGTAAGATTTACCAGCACCCAGTAAGGCTTTTTTTTTTTTTTTGGGTCAGTCGTGGGGCTTGAACTCTGGGCTTGGGTGCTGTCCCTGTGCTCTTCAGCTCAAGGCGAGGCTCTACCAGTTGAGCCACAGCACCACTTGCGGTTTTCTAGTGGCTTATTAGAGATAAAAGAGTCTCACGGACTTTCTTGCCCAGGTTGGCTTTGAACTGCGATCCTCAGATCTCAGCCTCCTGAGTAGCTAGGATTACAGGCATGAGCCAATGGTGCCCGGCTTAAGGCAGGTATTTTTATATCAAACCTATGGCTATGGAAATAGAGCTAGTAGGGGTAGTAGGTAACTCATGAGGTAGGACTTAAACTAGCCCAGTCCAGGCACTGGAGGCTCAGGGCTGTAATCCTAGCTACTCGGGAGGCTGAGATTTGAGGATTATGGTTCAAAGCCGCCTGGGCAGGAAAGGCCCTGTGAGACTCTTATCTTCAATTAACCACCAGAAAACAGGAAGTGGTACTGTAACTCAAGGGGTAGAATGCAGTGCTATCTTGAGCTGAAGAACTCAGGGACGGTGTCCAGGCCCAGAGTTCAAGCCTCACAACTGATCCCCATCCCACCAAAAAAAAAAAAAAAAAAAAACCCACCAGCTCAAACATGGTCTTTCCTGTGACCTCCTCACTTCGTGAGCACACGGGCAGCAGGAGCACCTGAGTGGACTCTCTCTCCTGTAGCCTCCTCCCTTCCTGAGCACACGGGCAGCAGGAGCACCTGAGTAGACTCTCGCTCCTGTGACCTCCTCCCTTCCTGAGCACACGGGCAGCAGGAACACCTGTTTAGACTCTCTCCTGTGACCTCCTCACTTCCTGAGCACACGGGCAGCAGGAGCACCTGAGTGGACTCTCTCTCCTATGACCTCCTCCCTTCCTGAGCACACGGGCAGCAGGAACACTTGTGTGGACTCTCTCTCCTGTGACCTCCTCACTTCCTGAGCACACGGGCAACAGGAACACCTGCGTGGACTCTCTCTCCTGTGACCTCCTCCCTTCCTGAGCACACGGGCAGCAGGAGCACCTGCATGGACTCTCTCTCCTGTTACCTCTTCCGTTCCTGAGCACACGGGCAGCAGGAGCACCTGCATGGACTCTCTTTCCTCTGACCTCCTCCCTTCCTTAGCACACGGGCAGCAGGAACACCTGCATGGACTTGAAAGGTTAGAGTATTTGAGGCAGTGACCATTTGTTGCTTGTTTCAGAGCAGAGCAACACATGGTGCTAAACCACCTGATTGTGTGCCTTTATAAGACCTGCAAGTCCTTAGCTCGGGGCTCTCCTCCTGGGCTCCGCTGTGTCGGAGTGTAGGACGAGACCCGAGCTGCAGCCCGTTTAAATAAAACAGCTGTAGAGTCTGACTCTAGGTGGTCTTCTTGCAGGGGGTCCTGCGACCTCGGCATAACATATTAGTGGGGGCTCATCCAGGATCCTCCCCCCCTCCTCCCTCCAAAGACCCCCCTAGACCTCAGACTCCAAAGGTAAAACAGCGCTGTCTGTTTATTTGTCTTGTCCTGTCCTTTGTCTGTTTTACTTTCGTTTTCCCTTGTGAGGAGGGCCGCTCCGATTCGTAAAGGGTTGTCAAAGCGCACACACTTGTACAACAACCCTGGAGGAACTGGGAGACGTCCCAGATCCTCTTGTGGGGTGGGGGTAACCCTGCCATGTGCAGCGGGGGTCCTTGGAACCCCGCCGTGTGAAGCTTTTTTTCGTAACTGTCAGGCCTGCGTGTGTTTTGTTTGTACTGTTTATTTTTTTTTGGACTGTACGACTGACGGGACTGGAAACCATAGGCAACACTCCATCTAGCCCCCTAGACTTACAAAAAGAAACTAAGAAAGAGGAAAAGAAATTGTACCCCCCCCAGTTTTTCAGGGAGATAACTTGGAAGAAGAAATGTTTCCTCCCCCATACTCCCCTTCCCAGGTTTGCAGAACCTGAGAATGATCAAGAGGAGGCGGGAGCTATAGAACCAGCAGTTGAACCCTCAGCACTTACCCTTAAAGTTTCTGAGGGGCCAGTCACTCAACGATGCCATGGGATCAACCCCCCTTCTAATACAGCTGTTTTTCCCTTACGTGCCATAGGTCCGGTGGATGCAGATGGTCAACACCAACTCCAATATTGGCACACAACTATACAACTGGCACACCCAAAATGCCCCCTTTTCTGAGAAACCCCAGGATTTAATCCGTTTGCTTGAAATTATTTTTACTCATCAGCCCACTTGGGATGATCGCAGTCAGCTTTTACAGGTCCTTTTTACCACCGAAGAGAGAGACATATCCGACAGGCGGCCCAGAAACATATCCCTGGCCCCACAGGAGTGCCCATCATGGATCCTGCCCTGATCGCGGCCTATTTTCCTGAGATCCAACCAACATGAGACTACAATACGGTTGAAGGTAGGGAGCGACTCCTCGTCTACCGCCAGGCTCTGTTGACAGGTCTAAGTGAAAGTCCGGCAGCATATCTTGAGCGGCTCATGGAAGCTTTTAGTCAATATTTGATCTTGAGACCCAGGAGTTGGCTCAGATGATTATGTTTGCCTATATAAATCAAGCCGCACCAGACATAAAGCGAAAGTTGCAGGCTCTAGACAGACTTGGTGAGAAGTCTATTAGGGATCTATTAGCCATGGCGGAAAAGGTTTACAATAAGAGAGAGACAGGAGCAAAGACAGGAAAGGAAGGACAGAGAACGTGAAATTGAGCGTGAAAAGAGAGACTGGGCCAAGGAAAAGAAGCCAGACTTGTTGGACTTGCCACTATCGCATGCCGAGCATACCTGGTTCACAGACGGCAGCAGTTTCATTTGAGAGGGAAAAAGGTACGCGGGCACGGCAGCAGTTTCATTTGAGAGGGAAAAAGGTACGCGGGCGCAGCAGTCACCATGGACACTGAAATAGTGTGGGCAGAAGCACTCCCCCAGGGAACGTCTGCACAAACAGCAGAGCTAGTAGCACTAACAAAAGCCCTACAAATAGGAAAAGGGAAGAGACTAAACATTTACACGGATAGTCGGTATGCTTTTGCCACCGTGCATGTCCATGGAGCCATTTACCAAGAGAGGGGGCTGCTGACAGCTGAGGAAGACTATTAAAAACAAACAAGAAATTTTAAGCCTCATCCGGGCCATATGGGAACCAGCAAATATTGCCATTATGCACTGCCTTGGCCATCAAAAGGGAACTGATTCTATAACCAAAGGAAATAACTTGGCAGATCAGGCAGCTAAGGAGGAGGCTCTCCAGCCCAGGGCGGAAGGACTGACTAGTAGACCCAGGGCCACGAGCTTTGCCTCCTGAACCTCAGTACTCCCAAGAAGACTTGGAGTGGATAAAGAAAATTCCCATGGCCTATAAACCCCTGGACAGAGAAGGAAACAAAGACTGGTGGAAAACTGGTGAGGGGAAACTTATCTTGCCACAAAGATTGGGCAAGGGGATTCTTAAGAGAATCCATCAGGTCTCTCACATGGGAACCCGAAGAATGCAGAACTTGCTCCGACACTCAGAAGCAAAAATTAGGCAAGGAAATCAACTCATTGAGGACATTGTTAAAAATTGTAAAACCCATGGGGCTGGGAAGGTGGCTCAGTGGTAGAGCACCTGCCTTGCATGCCTGAGGCCCTGGGTTTGATTCCTCAGCACCACATAAGCAAAAAGAAAAAAGCCGGAAGTGGCGCTGTGGCTCAAGTGGTAGAGCGCTAGCCTTGAGCTGAAGAGCTGAGGGACAGCGCTCAGGCCCAGAGTTCAGGCCCCACGACTGGACCCAAAAAAAAAAAAAAAAAAAAATTGTAAAGCCTGTCAGCTCACCAATGCCCCCAATCAACCCGTTACAAAAGGAGCTCACCTCCGTGGAGATAGGCCAGCTGTGTATTGGGAAGTAGACTTCATAGAAATTAAAACTGGAAAATTTGGATATAAATATTTGCTAGGTTTTGCAGGCACCTTTTCAGGATGGGTTGAAGCCTACCCAACAAAGCATGAGACCACGAACGTCATGGCTAAGAAGATTCTGGAAGAAATCCTACCCAGGTATGGCTTCCCATCCACCATCGGGTCAGACAATGGACCGGCCTTTGTCTCAAAAGTAAGTCAGGGAATAGCCGCAGCACTGGGGACAGATTGGAAATTGTACTGTGCTTATAAACCCCAGAGTTCAGGGCAGGTAGAAAGAATGGACTCTAAAAGAGACCTTAACTAAATTGACCTTGGAGACTGGCGCAGACTGGGTATCACTCCTTCCTTTTGCCTTGTTTAGAATAAGAAATTCACCCTATCGGCTTGGCTTTAATTGCTTGCTGATTTGGATGATTCTGAATTTCTGTGTAAGCTTGACTATTTACAGCTGGTGCATAAAGAGTATGTGACCCCAGCTTACAGCATTATATGATTCTGCTTCTATTCCTTCCCCCATTTGTTTAAACCAGGGGACTCGGTGTTTGTTCGAAGGCACAACTTGAGATCTCTGGAACCATGGTGAAAGGGACCTTACATGGTGCTACTGGCTATACCTACTGCCCTTAAGGTGGATGGCATTGCTGCTTGGATTCACTGCTCCCACGCCAGACCGGCTGACCCCTTTGCCCTGGACGACCATGGGGAAACATGGGACGTCTCCAAGCATCTTACCCAACCACTCCATATACGCCTCAAGAAAAGAAAAATGGACTGATTGTTATTGGTATACCCGTTCAAGATCAAGAGCTGTTGGAGTTTTAGCTTTGGGCCAGAGCCACAAGATTGTGGCTCAGGACCATAAGTCAAGGGGGGGAATGAAAGGTTAGAGTATTTGAGGCAGTGACCATTTGTTGCTTGTTTCAGAACAGAGCAACACATGGTGCTAAACCACCTGATTGTGTGCCTTTATAAGACCTTCAAATCCTTAGCTCAGGGCTCTCCTCCTGGGCTCCGCTGTGTCAAAGTATAGGACCAGGCCCAAGCTGCAGTCCATTTAAATAAAACAGCTGTAGAGTCTGACTCTCGGTGGTCTTCTTACAGGGGGTCCTGCGACCTTGAAATAACAGACTCTCTCTCCTGTGACCTCCACACTTCCTGAGCACATGGGCAGCAGGAGTACCTGAGTAGACTCTTTCTCCTGTGACCTCCTCCCTTCCTGAGCACATGGGCAGCAGGAACACCTGAGTGGACTCTCTCTCCTGTGACCTCCTCCCTTCCTGAGCACACGGGCAGCAGGAGCACCTGGGTGGACTCTCTCCTGTGACCTCCTCACTTCCTGAGCACAGGGGCAGGCAGCAGTCCTAACCGTCTCCACTAGGGGTCCCTCAGGCCACCTTCACGGGTTTCCTTGTTGCTTTTGAACTCTTTCATGCTCACAGACAGCTCCTTAAGTGCCAGCTTAAGGATGGTACCAGGCCTTCCCTCTCTCTTGCCATATCTCCCCCAGAAGCTAGATTTTACAACAAAAATATAGAATGCCCAGTTAAATCTGATCGAGATAAAGCCAATATAACTTTTTAGTTTAAGCACACTCCATGCACACATGGAGTTTTCAGCAAACTTCAGTTAGACACACTTCTGATACAAATTTGAGTGTAGCACATATACCACAGCAACCTGAACAAGGACTGTTTGGCAGTTCCAGTCCTTGTACCAGTTGAACTGTGCTCCAAGGGGATTTCCTTCACCTGTGCAAACCTTCCATCCTCCAGGACCAAGGTATACATCCTGCCAAAGCCACCACTTCCTCAGACTTTAGAACACTGTTCCTTCCAGACAATATGAACATGCAATTGTCTACTGGTTTATCTTGCTTTCTTATGAGTATTTTTCCTTCTGTATGCCACTTGTACTATTATCTGATAAGTTCTCAATCACAATGAATGAGTGGTTAGAAACTACTTTGAGTGTTTGGGAGATATTTGTTTGGCTATGCTATCTACACTATTAGCAGTCTTGCAATTACAGAAATTAAGTGACCATTCTAGGGGCTGGGAATGTGGCTTAGTGGTAGAGTGTTTGCCTAACATGCTGGAAGCCCTGGGTTCGATTCCTCAGTACTATATAAACAGAAAAAGTCGAAGTGGCACTGTAGCTCCAGTAGTAGAGTGCTAGCCTTGAGCAAAAGAAGCTCAGGGGAAGTGCCCCGGCCCTGAGTTCAAAACCCAGGTCTAGCAAAAATATCTTTTTTAAAAAGTGACCATAGCTGGGCGCTGGTGGCTCACACCTATAATCCTAGCTACTCAGGAGGCTGAGATCTGAGGATCATGGTTCAAAGCCAGCCTGGGCAGAAAAGTGAGACTCTGATCTCCAATAAACCACTGGAAAACCGGAAGTGGTGCTGTGGCTCAAGAGCTGAAGAGCGCAGGGACAGCACCTAGGCCCAGAGTTCAAGCCCCACAACCGACAAAAAAAAAAAAAGAAAAAAGTGACCATTATAGGTAATGTTTCTTTACAACATACATGGTCTGTTATAGGGTAGGGTTCTATAAATACCAAGCACCCATAGCACATATAAAGTTATATTTTTAAAAAATTCAGTTTAGTCACAGCTCTTTAGGATATTAATACATCTTTTACTACATTTACATGAAAGGAAATGTCATCCATAGCTCCGACAAGCTATCTGAAACTGACTCTTGGATATTAAAGGCAAACACAAACAGGTGTCAATCCTGTCTGTTCTTAGACCTCTCCTGGCACGTCATAGTCTCACAGCTCCAAACACAAGCACCTTCCACTGAGGACTTAACACCAGAAGATCTCATCACACTAAATTCTGGGTGAAATATAACTACTTATTTTGCCCAATACACTTAAGACTCATTAACAATAAGGTAAACTACCAATACTTTAAGTGTTTCATAATTTCCTGAATTCGATTTGAAAATTTCAGAGGAAACAGGTAGAAAACAGGTAGAAAATATTTTCTTTCAAACCTTGATATTCTCTCTCTCTCTCTCTCTCTCCATATATATATTGGGGGGGGGGGGTCAGTTGTGGGGCTTGAACTCTGGGCTTGGGCGCTGTCCCTGCCCTCTTCAGCTCAAGGTGAGCGCTCTACCACTTGAGCCACAGTGACACTTCCAGTTTTCTAGTGGTTTACTGGAGATAAGAGTCTCACAAACTTTCCTACCCAGGCTGGCTTTGAACTGTGATCCTCAGATCTCAGCCTCCTGAGTAGCTAGGATTACAGGCCTGAGCCACTGGCGTCCTGCTCTCAATATATTTTTAATGTCATATTCCTCCTTTTGTATTTTTAGTAACTTTAATATACAATTACATGTGATTTAATCTGATAAAGATCATTCTAGTTTCAATGTCTATATTCATAACTGTGCAACTCAGCTAGCTAAAAATACTAATTACAAGAGAGAAGCTAACCCCAGAAAAGGATACCAGACATGCAAGAGAACATTCCCCACATTTTGTCACTGGCTGAACTATCAACCAACAATAGGACTATTCATTCTCTCTCCTTTCTCTTCTGGCAGCCCAAACTGTCACCACCAACCTAACAGGCGGGCCTAGTTGTGTTTTGAGAAACAAATCTATGCTATGAACTTCTTTTCTTTAGTCCTTTCATTGGAGCTTTTAAACATCTAAAATTTGAAGAATATTGCTTGCATGAGTGTTTCTGCATGCTGTATGAAACAACATGTGCAATATTAGGAAATAACTGGGAAATTGTGCATCCAGACTATATTCACTTTACCTATTTGTCAAGTGGTTAATCAATGTAGTTATCATTACTATAGTGATGTGTCTTTGGGGGGGCTGACCAGGATCTCATCCATGCTAGGCAAGCACTCTCCCACTAATGCCATACCACCAGCCAGACCTAGCGTAGTCGCTTTGATGCATGAATATGTAATACACACAAACTAATAGGGCAGAAAATATTAAATCCCAATTTAAATAATTGGCTAAAATACTTTGTTGTCCATTTTAACTACTTAAAACTGCTTAGGAAATAAGTCAAAGGAGAAAGAAGTAATTTGAATATAACAAGATTCAAGATAAGAGAAGCTATGCATTTAAATGATGTAGGTTTGATCTTATGGTCAAACATTGGAATGAAGGAACCTGCCCTAGTAGCTATCCGCCTAGTAGACATGTATGTCTTACACATCTGCTGGTAACAAATCTGTGAGCATAGCTTAGTGGGTTCCATCCCAACAGGGGGAAGGAAAAAGCAGTGAAAACACTGTACCTGAACATAAATAAATCTTGGGCCAAAACAGATTACTTCTTCACAAAATAATTAAAAGAATATAATAATTAATTAAATAATTAAAAGAATATAATAATATATTATTATATAATATATAAAAAGAATATAATTTCCTTTCTCAGTAGTTCAGTTACATAACAGAGACTAGAATCAGTTTAAAGAGATACAGTGGTCAAGGAGAACTTATTCAGCCATCAATAAAAAAAAAAAAATGAGCAATGGAAAGAGCATTTTAATTGCAAACACATAAAGAGTACTCTCCTGCCCAACCTTTTATAATTGACTGTTAGGAGAGATGGTACTTTTCTTCATGTTAGTAAAAGCACTATGAACAATAGTACAGCTATTTTCTCATCAATTGAAATGAATATTAAATATCAAATTTCATCTAAGTAGTACAAATATGATTCCCCTAAAATATACTTTATAGTTTCTTTCAAATTATCCTAAATTAGTTGCTACAGTCTAAGAATAATGGAACAAAATGAACAATCCATTTATTAAGTACTTGCTGAAACCTATGATAGAACAAATGGTATTTTTCAGAATTCTTAAAATAATAGCATTTCAGTACTCATTAACAATTATTTAAAACACACTCCATCTTGACTTAGTACTTGTTCATTGGGTACATGCTAGACGTCAGCAATCAGAAGTTCTTAGAGAAATGAGCTCTAAACAAGAAAATATTCAGCACATAAGCAACTATGAACATTAAACATTATGTTAGTACACAGGATGATCTTACAGTTGCGATGGGTCCATCAACATGATAATCCAGGCTGAAGACATCCCATCCCGTGTCACCTGGAGACACCTAATGCAAAAAAAAAAAAAAGCAGTAAAATAAGGAAGGCATATTTTTTTTAAACCACTCAAGTATTTAGCTTCCTAAGAAGAGGAATCTGTGTGTTTTGGTCAGCTTTGTCTCCCCAGCAACTGGACAAGGCATGTCCTGGGTGCTCTACAAACAGGAAAGAAGAGTACATCTTTTCAACAGACACTGCAGACAAGTCTACTGTCTTACAATGACTTCCAAATCTCTTCAAGTCTGTATTTTAAGAAATGGTTTCTACCAAAAACCTCTCAATAGCTGTGCGTCTGCCACAATGACACTGACGATACAATCTTTGGGTGGACAGACACTATATCACCATACATCATACTGGTGTCTCCCACCCAACTTATTATGGGTGTAAGTGGTTCATGTTACCAATCATCTATGACACGCTCCCACACCCTGGGAGTGGATGATCCACCTTGAGCCCAGCAGCCCTGAGACATTACTCTTCTGTGACACGATTTGGCCCAGAGGAGAGGGACTCACCCATAGTCACTAGTAAAACACGCATAGATCAGGGGCACATGCAAGCAGTCCAGTCTCCAAGACTGACCAGAGCATCTGTGCCTTAAAAAATAAATGCCTGCTGGACACCCTCTCTGGGCTGGCCCTACGTACCTCTAGCAGCCTCACATCCAGCCTCCGGAGGATCTCAGGGCTGTCAAACTGTGCATTGGTCGCTCTAACAGCAGTTTCGAGAATGCCAGTCAAGTTATGCTGATATAAAGTTGTTGCTGGACGGACAAGTTCTGGTCTTGATAAAAAAAAATTTTAATTACAGAAAACATTACTTGAATTTTTACTGAACTTTTGCAAAGTTATACATTAAAAAGAGTTCAAATTATAAACACTAAAAAGACAAAAGGGATCAATACAATGTAGAACAAACAGCTCTGTGGCATCAGCGTCTTGGAATCTCAAAACTATTCTTTCTGATTCAGCTTAGCTGTGCTAACATGTTAGCAGTATTCAAACCCCTCTAATGACATTTACTGCTTTCACAAAAAATGCTGGGCCCTTTATCATCTTAAAGTATTGTAGATCTGTAAAACTCGTCCAGCCCCCATTTCTTACTTCAGCAAATCCATTAAGTGCCTTATAAAGTCTCCCTGGCCAAGCAGCAGGTACCGCCTCATAGCCTGCATGTGGTCCAGCAGGCTGTACTTTTTATTGAGAACATCCAACAGATACTTGCTGGTCTCAAAATAAGCAGCATCAATTTTCCCTTGAAAGGCATTTTCTAAATCTGTGAATAAATCTGCAGCTGTAAAGAACAAAAGGGAAAGCACACATACATATGTAAGATGTATTTTAACAAAGGAATAATGAAGGCACACAAGGACAGAAGTCAAACCATCCCATCAGCAGCACCAACAGAAGACCCAGCCCAGCCACCAGAGCTGCACACTCAACAAAAGGAAACCAAGTCCCAAGAAACAAAACTGAACCCACCAACATCTCGCTGGAATAAGAGCAGTCACCAATGTTTGGACTTACAGGAGGGGCCAGCCACAGTACTGCTCACAAGTTCAAGAACCACCGTGCTCCAGCCACTACTGGGAAGTCCCATAAGGAACTATGAGGATGGGGCCCAGAGCCCAGCACCACACCTCCCATGGGACACCTTTACAAATGAATCCTGACACCAAAATGGCATGTGTGAATGAGCATGTGAGCTGCACAGCTCTGAGGGAGAGCAAGGCACTGCCGTCACACAGTTCATAGCATCCCTGAACTCCAGGGAAGTCACTGAAGATTTGTTAGGGGACAGAACCAGATGTACCAACACTGAAGCCTAACTCTAAGCAGTAACCTAAGTTAAAAAAAAAAAAAAGTGTTCCCATTACTTTATACTGAAAAAAAAAATGGAATGTGGAGACTAGAGATATAACAGAAGTTTGCACAATGCTAATTTACATCTGTTTAGTTCGATCTGTTTATAAGCATGTGATAAACATTTGATTTCACCTGAAAACCAAGAGAGTAATTCCAAAGTTGAAAAGGAACCAATCTTAAGATTGAGAAAAGGTAAGTGCCTCGTTCGAGGATAAGGGGGAATGAGAGACATAATGCTTTGTTCAAGGTTAAGGGGGAATGAGGAACGTGATGCCTTTGGTTGAAAGTTTGTCTTCCCAGTATCTGAATCAACCAACTTCAAAGTATCAAAAGGCCCATGGGTTCTGCTTGTCCTTCAGTACAGAACTGGGTTAAGCCAGTGGGACTGCTTTACTGCAGGTACACACTGGTGCAGAAACAAGGGTCCTGTACAAAAGGCCTGGCCATCTGAGGAACACAACAGCAAGGTCTGTGAACACAACAGCATCAGGACCCAATTCATAAGGTCACCACCATCCTGGCCACCACAATGTTGCTTTCGTGGCATCAGGGTATATCTGTCCATCTATGTCATTTTAAGTTATTTTCTCCAGGTATTTTTTATCCTGGCCTTAAGTCACTAAAATTTTTTGTTCTGATGGAATGTTAGCCCATTATAATCTAGAATAACCTAACAGAAGACATCAAATACAGAGCCTACATATATTCTTGTTTTTTTGGGTTTATTCGCCAGTCTTGGGGCTTGAACTCAAGGCCTGGACACCTGTCCTTGAGCTTCTTTTAATCAAGACAAGCACTCTACCACTTGAGCCACCGCACCATTTGTGGCTTTTTCTGTGTATGTGGTACTGAGGAATCGAGCCCAAGGCTTCTGGCATGCTAGGGAAGCGCTCTACCACTAAGCCACCTTCCTAGCCCCCTACATACACTCTTATTCCCCATAGTTTAGGCATGTGTTGTGATCCAACCCTAAAATCCCCCTTATTGTTTATTGGCACTTTTAAAATCCTCAAGTAAGCTTGTAGGTATGGCTCAGAGTATGCGAACCCTACTACAAAAAAGGAAAAGTAGGAGAAAGAGGAAGAGGTTGGAGGAAGAAGAGGGAAGAAAGGAGGAAGGAGGAAGAAAAGAGGGATGGGAGGAGGAAGGAGGAAGGGAGAGAGGGATAGAAGAAGGACCAGTTTCTTCACAGGTAAATAGGAACATAACATTTTCCATAGTTTATTACTAATAGTGTGCTGAGCTTTATACAGTGACTGTGAGGTCTCATGGGAGTTACCTTGCAGAGACCCCTGTAATGGGTGAAAATCATGAGTGGTAGCATTATATAGTTGTCCCTCGCTGTACTGTGGTTCACTTATAGCTACTTTGTGGACTTCCATCTCTGGAACTTTCACTGTGATACAGTGAAAATGCAGTAAGTGAACCACAATATTGGGAGGGACAGCTGTACCTTCATATACAAGTACAAGTAGGGCTGGGAAGGTGGCTCAGTGGTAGAGTGCTTGCCTTGCATGCATGAGGCCCTGGGTTCCATTCCTCAGCACCACATAAGCAGAAAAAGCCGGAAGTGGCACTGTGGCTTAAGTGGTAGAGTCCTAGCCTTGAGCTGAAGAGCTGAAGGACAGCGCCCAGGCCCAGAGTTCAGGCCCCATGACCGACCAAAAAAAAAAAGTACAATCATAACATAAACATAGTACAAAAGCACAGTTTTCTAGACACTAGCTTTAGCAAAGAACAGAGGAGAAGTAGTACCACTGAAAAGCCACCTTTTGTTGGGCAGTGAAGTAACTAAAAGCTGGGCACCCACCCCCCACTTTGCATCTATGTCCTCTGATCTGTCTAAGCCATTCTCTCCTCAGTCACTCTGCAGTAGCCTCTAGGAAAGACAAGACCCACTGACGGGCACCTCTGACAGAAGGCAGACTGTGCCCTCAGACAATCAATGCCATCTCCTTATCTTACAACAAAAGGCAAAAGTGCTCCACGGTAAGAGAAGAGCCAAAAGCTCAAAGACCCCCTGACAGGCAAGTGGCCTCAAATGGAAGGGACAAGAACTTCTCAGAAACGCCTTTAGAGTCAAAAGCTGAGGAAGAAATTAAGCAGAATATTGTAAGCACTATATAGCATGCCCCTCATCACCACCACTACCAGCATTACCCCCATCATCTCCTCTATTATCAATACCCTATCACCATGAGCCCACCACTACCCTTTATCATGTCACCACCATCACCAGCAGCAGCAGCAGCAGCAGCAGCAACGGCCTAACCGTACCATCCCGAGATGACTCTGAAGACTTAGTCATGGCTATCATCTTTGTGGTGGGCGTCTGATCATGACAAACTTGGTGCAAAAAATTTATTGATTTTCCTATCAAAAGCACCTAAAAATAAAAATGTCTTATGATTATCTTTATAGAAATTTAAATGAGCAAAATACTACAAATATTTACATTATAAATTGGCTACTGATTAAAAACTACTTAACAAGAGCATTCAGTCTACAATCAAATGATTTGTAGCAAAAGACACATTAACAAACATGAATGTATTGATGCATTCAAGTAACATATACTTTGCCTCAAGAGCATTATTAATCTCAAAATGTAAGAAAATCTATTTAAGTGAAAATTTGTTTTGTTACTGTATATATAGCAAACAAATAAAAATCACAAAAACTTCTAACCCTACCTTCCTAGATTGGTCCATCGTAATAAATGAAGGAATCATTGATTTCCTCAAAGTATACTTGTCATGCCACAGTCGATCTGTTTTAACTGTTGGATCTGATGCTACAAAAAACTGAAAGCAAAGGTAGACAGAACATTAAAAAAAACAGTAATTATGCAAAATACCCTAGAACAGCAACAAGTAACTTATTCTAGAACTGCTGGATGAACAAGCAACTTTCAGTTCATAAGGATAATGAAAGGTTTCTCTTGCCATTGACTTAGTGGATGGACTCCCATCAGCAGCTGCCCTATGCTCTGTACCTACACCTCAGGTAAGTAGAATCAGTTATCTTGAATGGTTATTTTATTGACAAGTGAAGTTGAGCACATTCCCATATTAGCTTTTTTTTTTTGTCAGTCATGGGCCTTGAACTCAGGCACTGTCCCTGAGCTGTTTTGCTCAGGCTAGTGTTCTACCACTTTGAGCCATATGTTCCACATCACATTTTCTGGTGGATAAGAGTCTTATGGACTTTCTTACCTGGCTGGCTTCAAACTATCACAGACAAAAAAAAAATCACTTAACTATTATGTATGTGATTAGATTACTGGTGAATTTTTAATTTCCTCCTATATATTTCCACAACCAAAAATTTTTAAATGGTGCAAATATTTGATCAAGAAAAAACTGCTTAATAATTAATTCCAGCCAGATAATGAACACAGGTTATTAGAATTTTTAAAGTAACATCGTTTTCTTCTTAAGGAAATTAACTAAAAAAGCCTTGTTTTTTCACTTTAGTGACTATCAAGGATAAATATTGAAAAGAACAAAATTTTAATGATGTCAAAGTCTTGTATTTGATGTTATCAATGATGTACAGAAACTTGTCCTTCATAAGCAAGCATATGAATAAATGATAACATCTTAAGACCTGAGAGAAGGGACTGCTACAGTTATTTTAAACTAAAACTTCTTATATTTAGTACCAATTCAAATGAATGAAGTATTCATTGATATGTTTTAGACTTTTATCATTTATATTACCTTCCACATCTAACACATGAGTATTGGCTGCTTTGAGAGATAAACAGATCTAGTCTAATGAGGTTATCATCACTTTAACATATATTGACATTATCCCGGACAGAAATAAAAAATTATTATGACCCCACCATGAATAATATGCATAATATGCATGGTTATCCAATCACTGTGTTAGAATTGCTCTATGGCTTGCCTTTCAACAGATTAGATAAATTGCATATAAATTGTATTTCTCTGTTATTCACTTAAACAGAAGAGCTATTTCCAATAGACAACACACCAATTTATCCTGATAGTTGAAGTGCAGCTGGATTTTTATCAGTACAAACAATAAGAAAATTTAATTTAAACCATAAAACCTCAAGACAATTCAGTCATCTTTAGAAGTCATGAATCCACCGCTTCATCTAGGGGCAAAGGGGCATGCAATCACTCTACTAGCAAACATACAGTAGTGAACACAAAAAGCATTGGTACTCTTTAGAACAGAATTAATTCTGTGAAAAAATTATGGCAGTAGAAGGAAAAAACCAAGGTCAGAATAAAACCACTATAAGCCTTTATTTTACTGAGGCATTTTCCACTCAAGGTCTTTTCATTTCCACCATTATGTCAAACATAGAAAGAATCAAGAAAAAAAAATAAAACCTAATTGTACCACGATTTCTCATTAACTGCTGGACAAGCACCAAGGCCTCCAACTAAAAACAGAAATGAAGAGGATGATTTTCTTAGCAAGCACTTTAGTTCCTATAGGAACGGATGGATGAATCAGGCCTGTTAACAGAGACCACAGGTGACCCTCCTCTAACTCACCCAACCCTGTAGGCCATTGTATGAGTCCAGCTAAGGACAGGCTCACCCAGAGAAAACACCATGGAATCTGCATGGGAGTGGGCGAGGAGGTAGCAAGGTTGCAGGGGAAGACTTGGTAAAGTTCTGAGTACAACAATGATCATGGAAAGACAACCTTGCAATTTACAGCATTTCAAAAGGTGTGAGAACTGTGCTTCTCTGGCGAAATTTATTCCTGAGTATTTTCTTGCTTGGCACCTTTGTTTCTTCCTGTGCTGCACGGTTTTCTTGCACAGAACTCACAGTGTGTTGAGCAGCTGATAGTGGACACCTCACCTTGTTCTTCACCAGGGAGAGAGCAGGCAACCTTTCTCCAGCCACATGGCTCAGAGATGAGCTTTGTTTGTGTTGAATAATGCCAGATCCTTTTCCAGCAGCATCAGCTGTACGACTTGTGTCTCCATCCTTCACCATCCTAGCGTGGTGATCACACTGGCTGACTCAGCGATGGTCCCCGAGTTCCTGGATAAATCCCACTTGGTTATTGCATACAATCCTTTCATACACTTTGAATTCCTCTGGAGGTTTCTTATAAGTCTTGAGATATGCAAATGAGGTCTGTGTTGTCAAAAATGGACTTAGGCATCTTCCTTATATTATTTGAAGAGTTTGAGGAGGGCTGGTGCTAACTTGTTGAACACTTGGTTAGACTTCACCAGCTACACAATCTGGTAGACTTGGGCTTTTCTTTGTTGAAATGTCTCAGTTACAGAATCTCTTTGCCTCTTACAGTATGTGCATATTTTCCATTTCTTTCCAAACAGTTTTGGTAGTTTACATATTTCTAAGAATTCGCTCAGCTTTTAGTTGTGAATTTCTTTGACATTTTTTGAAGAATTTTGCAGACATAGAATTATCAAATGATATTGTCTTATGCAGCTATTTCATAAACTACTGTGATGATTATATAGCTCATGAATAGCTATTCAGACTCAACACTAGAAGTTCAGTTTTATAACCAATTTATAATAACCAGACTGAGGAAAATTTAACTTACATAGAAGATGAATGGACAATATCCTTTAATTATATGATGATCAAACGCGTGATTCTCAAAACTATCAAATGTGTATGGTAAATATGTAATTCATGGTAAACTAAAGAGAATTTTCATGGCTAGAAATTATAGACAGGATGACTGATCAAAAAGCAAGGATAGTTAAATGGACATTTAATTATAACCTCCTTATACAACTTTTTTTTGGTCATGGGGCTTGAACTCAGCCTGGGCATTGTCACTCAGCTCTTCAGCTTAAAGCTAGTGCTCTATCACTTGAGCCACAGCACCACTTCCGGTTTTCTGGTGATTAATTGGAGATAAGAGTCTCACAGACTTTCCTACCCAGGCCAGCTTTGAACCAAGATCCTCAGATCTTAGCCTTCTGAGTAGCTAGCATTACAGGCTTGAGCCACTAGCACCTGGCTCCTGTATAACCTTTTGAAATTCAGAAAAAAATAGTAAAGATGGGACAGAGACAGACAGAGAGAAAAAGAAGGGGAGGGGAAAGAGAGGGAGAAAGAAAGGGAGAGAGGGAGGGATAGAGAGGGAGAAAGGGAGAGAGAGAATCTCCCAAAAATAACAATAAACAAGGGAGAAAATAACTTTGTTGAAGCAGCATTCATGTAAGATTACAGACGCCTCAGGGGCAAAGGTCACTCTAGTGTCATCATACTCTCCTCAGACTGAGGTTGGTCTGACTTAACCCTCACACAGTCTCCAGGTCAAGCACAGCCATTACACACTTCTGGAAGATGGAAGGAAGGCTGAGGAAGGAATAGCCAGCAGGAACAGAAGCCAAGAATCACCCCAAACCTGAATGCACTGTGAGAACCAGTATGCAAGTTGTGACTTCAACAACTGTCTCGGTATCACAGTGCTGTGTGTGGCATGGGGTACACAGCACAAACCACAGGCAAGTTCAAGAGTTCTCTGAGTAGGGGCTGGGAAGGTAGCTCAGTGGTAGAGTGCTTGTCTTGCATACATGAGGCCCTGGGTTCAATTCCTTAGCACATAAGCAGAAAAAGCCGGAAGTGGGGCTGCCTCTCAAGTGGTAGAGCACTCGCCTTGAGCTAAAGAGCTGAGGCCCAGAGTTCAGACCCCACCATCGACCAAAAAAAAAAAGAATCCTCTGAGTAAAACTAATGACACTAACAAGATCACCCAGAGTATAATGTGGTACCTGAGTAAAGAAACTGCCAGGAAAAACAAATATGACTAAGAGCCTTGATCTTCCCACACCCCCTTCAGCCACTATAGAACAATTGTAATGGGTGAGGCGTACAAGTTGGCCCCAGTGACTCACACCTGTAATCCTAGCTTCTGGAGGCTGAGATCCAGACTACAGTTATTAGCTAGGTCTTTCTTCCAATCCTAGAAACCCATCTCCAAAATAATTGACAAGATGGACTGGAGGCATGCAGGATACACTGAAGGGGTTGTGTATGGCTCACCTGTATTGCCGAAACTACAATGTGGATTTTTACTGGGTTTGGGTTTTGGAATATTACATAGACACAAGCTTTCTTGGAATTGGATCAAGTATAAACTTGAAATTAATTTGTTTCATATGAATTTTATATACATAGCTAGAAGGTAACTTCGTGACAAGCGTCTAGTGCCACATCAGGTCAGGTGTGACCTCTTCTTTTTGTGGTACCAAGTCAGTGCTCAAGAAGTTACAGATTTCAGAGTATCTGAGATTCTGGATGTTCCAATTATTGATATTGAATACTAATGTGGTAGAGTAAAATGGTATGCCTAAATCAAAATTTAATATCTACCCCCCAAAGAAGCACTTCTACCTCCAAAATTTAATGTCCACCCCCCAAACCAGCACTTCCACCTCCAAAATTTAATGTCTACTTCACAAACCAACACTTCTACCTCCAGTATCTTCTTTGGAAAGTTAGTAAGCACACATTGGCAGGCACACAAAAGGATATCCACTGTAGTAATATTACTAAGATTAAGCACCGTATTGGCAGCTAGCTATTCAGAAGGCTGAGATCAGAAGGATCACCATTCAAAGTCCACATAAAACATCCTCAAGATAACATCAACAAAATAACCAGCAAAAAGCAGGGCTGGAGGTATGGTTCCAAGTGGTAGAGCACCATTTAGGCAACAAGTCAAGCAATCACGAAGCCCTGAGTTCAAGTCTCAGTACCAACAAACAAATTATCATCGTCATCAAATTAAAAACAAAAAGAACATAATCTTTACAAACAGGAGGTTGCTAAAAACCTACTTGTTCATATAGTAAAATAGCATGCAGTAATAAAGAAAACTACAGTCATCAGGAGAGCTAGACAACACAGTGAAAGACTTGCACAATATATATGCATGTACACATTCCAGCCAGGTCCAAAGCACACTAAAAGCAGTATCATCTGTTCTGCTTTGTTTGACTAGCACAAAAGATAAATTAGCAAAAGATTTGGGCACGACACAAAATTCTGTTTGCTTATGTGCATTTTCCACAGTGAGAAACAGTTAACTGAAAAAAAAAAAAAAAAAAGGCGGGAACAGAAGAATCCAGAGACACCCAAACTCAAAAAACCATACACATACAGGGTCCTGCCTGCCCCTCAACCTTGTGCCTTTATAGGTGCTGTTCTGTGTTCAGATGCCTCCTCTCACCAACACCTCACAAAACACAAACACTGCAGTCCCACACCCATTTCCAAGCCAATTTTAGGGCTTCCTTCAAGTAAATGCCATATTTATTGCAGTATTTTTGTATTCCTGAACCATTCTATGTGCTCAATTATAAATGGTGCAACTTTTTATTAAATTACTAACAACATTTGTAAGTGTAAAGCTTCTGCCCTATTTTCTGCACAAAAGCCACCCTATGGCTTTACTGTTTGATTTCCACACCAGTGATTTTTAACAGCAAGACATTGCTTTACATAACTGTGTGCATTTCAAAAGGTATTATACTCATATGAGCACACTTGCTTTATTCAAACTGAAGACCACATGATCACTCAGACAAGCACAAAGGCAAGTAACACTTGAAGGAGCTACACAACTCAGCCTCGGGGGCTAGGACCTTACTCTGACATCTGCTGGCTAGTAAACCTGGACAAGTGGTTTGATCTTGCTGAGTTTACTACTAGTGGGAGAATAATTCCCCACTAATCAAATAGAGCTCTACAATAGATAACTAGCTACAATAGATAACTAGCTTTCAGATTACTGTACAAAATGTGCTTGCCATTCAACAGGGGCAAATTCCTATTAAGAGAAAATAGTAAGGGAACAGGGGAGACCCATGCCTCTTAACTCTGTTAGCACCTACTTCATGGTAAGTGTCCTCAAGTTCCCCGTCGTAGATCCAGCGGTAGAGGAAGCTCAGAACCGGATGAGACACTAAGCTCAGAATGTGCTGAACCAGGGACCGCATATATGGGTCTCCCGTCTTTGTGTAGGCATGAACAGATGAAGCCAGCTCACCTCCTTTCCTTCCTGGGGAATGGGGGGGGGGGGGGGGGGAAGCAAGAGAAGGGAGGGGCACATAAAAGGAAAAACACCTAAATTAACATTTTGGCACAAGGCAACTAACCAAAGATGGCCAAGTAAATGAGAGCAAACATTTCTCTTCCTTCAAATAAAATATTTTTGGATCTAGAAGCAGCAGCATGTGATAAGCATGCGTATCCAAATTCTATTTATAACTTACACAAATTTAAATCAGAGTGAGTTATTTCTCTCATGGATGGAAGGTATTTTTTCATCTGCAAAAAGGTTTTCAGCAGCAAAAAGCAGCTACACAATCTACAACTCACATAACTCTTCACATCTTTTTTGACTGAGATACATTAAGAGCCAAACAATTCAGCACATACCATATATGCATAAGAACAAAACATCTAAGAATCAACACTGACATTGTTTGGGGTATAAATGCTAGTCTCAATTCACTGGCTTTAGAGTTCACTAATTAGTGACTCATTAACTAGCAGCTTTGCAGGGTGAGGTGCTGTTCAGTAAATACAGAAGAGATTTGTCTAGAAGAAGGAAGCGGCAGAAACCAATTTAAGAAACGTGCACAGAAATCCCTTGCACTATACCACAAACTTGGGAGTTCTATCCGGCACTAATTTAAGCAGGCTATGTTGACAGGTGTGCACAGAGGGGACAGTGAGCAGAGACCCAGGGATCTGGGAGAAGTTCTTAGTGTAGCACACCCAGCAAACATCAAACAGGACTGAAGACTTCCAGAGAACTGCAGCAGGATATCTGCAGCCAAGTAGCTACTGACAAGTGAAGGAACAGGGGAACAGAAGCCAGATACAGAGGAGAAATGCAGGGTTCTCCTCTTGTGCTCTTCTGTTCTTTAAGTGCAAGGAAGGGAGGCAGAGTGTTGACAGCATGATGTTGAAGTTGGACTCAGATGTGATCAAATGTGGAGAATGTGATCAGATGTGGAGAATGGCAGTGAGCCAACCTCTCTCAGTGGGAAAGATGTCTGGCTCTGTATAGTGAGCAGACTCTACCCTCCTTGTCCCCAAGTCTTCACTCAGTACCTGCTTACCTAGGCAACTAGCACACCTGGACGAGGTCACATCTGCATCCGCTGAGGTCACATCTGGATGTGAGCATACCTTTCCCCGCCCTTACCCTTAATAAGACCTAGCCCAGGGCCAGATGCTGTCTTTCACGGATCTTTCCCAGCCACATGGAGTGCCAACATGAGCTGGTGCCAGCCAGAACGATGAATAAACCTACTCCTTACCTGAATACCATGTGCATGGTGCTGTTCTTACTTGGCCACCTCTTCTTTAAAAACCTAACACCATATCCTATGTAGTGCTAATAGTCCTAAGAAATAACAACTATTAAAACCCCACCGTTGGGCTAGGAAGGTGGCTCAGTGGTAGAGTGCTTGCCTAGCATGCATGAAGCCCTGGGTTCGATTCCTCAGCACCTCATACACAGTAAAAGCCGGAAGTGGCGCTGTGGCTCAAGTGGGTAGAATGCTAGCCCTGAGCAAAAGCAGCTTAGGGACAGTGCCCTGGACCTGAGTTCAAGCCCCAGGACTGGCAAAACAAAAAACAAGAAACAACAAATACTGTCATAAATGAGAAAAAAAGAGGGTGAGGGCCTTGGAAAAGTCATAGAAATACAGATGCTGGAGCTCAAAGAGAGGCCCAAGAGACCATATAAATATGGGAAATTTTTAATAGACAGACGGTGAGCAGAAGTGGCGCTGTGGCTCCAGCGGTAGAGCACTCACCTCAAGCTGAAGAACGCAGGGACAGCACCCAAGCCCAGAGTTCAAGCCCCACGGCCAACAAAAAATAAAAAAAAAGAAATAAACAGATGGAGAGCATGAACATGACCCCCAACTGAGAAGTAATGAAAACAGGGTGAGGTACCAGGGAAGCCCGGGAGGCAAGTGAACCAGGAGCACAGACAGGGGACTGGCATCCCAACCAGGAAGGGCCGCTGTCTTCCTGCTTTCATCTCAGCAACACCAGACATTCTACAAGGACAAACAGACCAGTGCCACGCCATACTGGCAATGGGATGCTTTCCCTATATTATTCTGTATTCTATCAATGAACACACTTATGGCTACTTAAGATACCAGAGCAGGTAAAAAGCAGAACTGGATGGCGTGCTCTACAGATGAGCTTTGAACCAGAGTACACTGAGAAGCACACACAAGGGAGACACAAAAAGACCTTGGCAGTAATCCACCAGGGCTGCAAGAGTCTTCAGTCTTATTTTCGGATCATACGTCCAAACCAAGAGGCGTCGCAGCGTGAGGCTACTCTCAAGTCCCAAATTCACACCCTGATCATCCTCAAGCTGTAGCTGGAAAACAACATGGAAGGTTCAAGTACAAATACCCAAGCACATGAGCTCACATCTTAAACCATACAGAGTAAACAGTAGGAAACAACAGTGCTTTCAAGCTTCAAATGGCTAAGATAGATAGTAATAGGTAATAGGTTTATATTTAAACCTATTATTATTGGGACCTCACAAACAGTATTATGAAAATGATTCCTAGTTTTTGTAAGTAGTACATGAAGCTTCTTAAAAGATTCTATATAGTAACAATTATCTAACTCGTCAATTAAAAACAAAGCATTTACCTGGGAATGCAGAACAGACAGTAGTCGATAGTATTCTGTGAGCTCTTGATGGAGGGCAGCACAAAAGCTCTACATGGAAAAAATATAGAACAGTAAATCACAACCCATTCATGAAAATTGGCTAATTCTATGAAAACATGGTTTCAAATAAAGTTTGGGTAGAGTTCAGCATAATTCTGCTTCTGTTTTAACACTGTAAATTTACATTTTGTAAACATTAGGTAAGTCTTATTGCTTAGTACAAAAAGAATGAACTTTGCAGAAGGAAAACAAAGAAATTATAGTATAGTTCTCATGAAGCTAAATGTGCACCACGTTGGCGAATAATCCTTTAAGGTTATGGCCTTTTAAATTTTTATAGTTAAAACTTTTTGTAATGTCCTTAATTGACAAAATTTAAAAAATTGGCAACTAAATACCAGTTTGTACTATGTTTTCCCAGCCACAGAATTTTAAATTTCTGTCTGGAATAATGTCAAGGGACCCAAATATAAGGCCAAGAATTCTACACAGACTTCTGTGATAAGGGAGATCTTTGTGGCATGGGCTCAAGGCTATAAATAGAGCACACACAGTGGAAGGTCTGTTTTGCAGACACAGCTTGCAAAGAATAAAGACCACATACTTGAATGTACAACCATATATAAAATACAAGTTTATTTTACTGTATTTATGTTTTGTGGATTAGGACTATATGAACATTTCCATTCTTTTCACTCGAAAAGTATCAACTTTCTCAACATAAAGCAATATTTCAAAAGTAAGACTTTCAGGATGAAATGTTCCAGTTGAGAATCTGACAGACCTTAGGGTGAGATATTAGGGTCTCGGTGAGGGCCAACCCCTGCCATCATTTTTGTTTGTTTTGTTTGTTTGTTTTGGTCAGCCCGTTGGGGCTTGAACTCTGGGCCTGGGCGCTGTCCCTCAGCTCTTCAGCTCAAGGCAAGTGTTCTACCACTTGAGCCACAGTGCCACTTCCAGTTTTCTGAGTGGTTTATTAGAGATGAGTCTCCAGACTTCCCTGCCTGGGCTTGCTTTGAACTACAATCCTCAGATCTCAGCCTCCTGAGTAGCCAGGATTACAGGCATGAGCTGCCAGCATCTGGCTACCATTGCCATCTTGAACCTTGTGGTTTTGTTCCTTTGAGAGAACAGACTGGATTTTATGTAAGGGATATACTTGGCCCAGGGTGGCACCAAGGTGCTTATTAAACAGTAGGTCAGTTTCTTGAAGTAATGTTCTCAGAGAGGCAGTGTCAAATTTGATCAGATGTGTCATCCCTTTTTAAAAAAGCCTTGATGGCTGGCAAACACCCACAAACACATACAAATCTAAAGCAAAAAAATTACAGAAAAATTATGAAAGTGGAGGTGTGGTCTTGAGTAGAAAATCCAAGCCAGAGCTCAAGGCTCAGAACTCAAACCTGTGTCAGCACAGGAAAAAAATGCTCATTATGTCAAGTAATCAGCTGCTGATTCTCAAAGATGCACAGAAATACACACACTAACTATTCACACACGAACAGCAGTTTCTGTAAGAGCATTTCAGGATTATCTACACTATTACAGCAGAGCAGTTCCAACTCAGATTACAGAAGCACTACTAAGATCCACCCTTAAGAGACAGAATCTTTCTTTGGCATGTCTACAACCAGTACACTGCTAAAGCTGTAAAGGGGTTTCAGGTAGTAACTATTCCAGAACAAGAGGCATAAACTAACCTCCTTACCTCCTGCAGCTGGGGCATATGATCATCCAACGAGAACACTCAACAATTCAAATCAGCTGAGTCACTGGGCACCAGTGGCTTACGCATGAAATTCTACCTACTCTGAAGGCTGGGTTCTGAGGATTTGGGTTCAAAGCCAGTCCAGACAGGGAAGTCTGTGAAACTCTTATCTCCAATTAACCACCAGAAAGCCAGACATAGAGCTGTGAGTAGTAGTGCACTAGCCTGGAGCAAAAAAGCTCAGGCACATTTCCCAGGCTTGCTGGTGGACAGCAATGACCTGACTAGCAGGAAACAAGAATGAAAGGGAGAGAGCTCCACAACAGGAGTCCCAGGCCTCCAGTCCCTTACCTGCTGCCCAATAGTCTGGGCAAATGGATCCAAAACTTTGATGTTCACTTTTTTTCATTTGCAAAGTGGTGGTAATTGATATATATCCTGTTAATTTTTGAGGGCTATTATAACAATTCTCAAGATGAGGAAAGATGCTTTAAAATCCAGTACTATAAAATTCTGTACAATAATACTACAGTGATTATTAATTAGCAGGGACATATCTATATAATTAGACAGCTGGCAAACATCCAGAGCATATAAGGAGCACCCACACAAATAATTTGATTTAAAGAGGACAACAGATTTAATTACAGATTTCATAAAAGAAGTACCAATTGCCAACAGGTTTGTGGAAAATACTCAACATCATCAGGGAAATACAAATAAAAGGCAGAATGAAATATTGCCTCACTCCAGTCAGAACAGCTATTATCATAGAAGACTAAAGCAAGTGCTGTTGAAGATATAGAAAAAGAGGAATCCTTGCACACTGTTGGTGGGAATGTAAATAAGATTGGCCATTATGAAAAGTAGTATGGAGGGTCCTCAAACAATTGAAAGTAGATCTGTCACATGATCTAGCAATCCCACTTTTATGTATATGTCCAAAAGAAATCAGTATGTAAACAGGCATCTGTGCTCCTGTGTTTAGCCAAGAAATGGAAACAATGAATAAAGATGTGGTGCAGCTGCTCACGCCTGTAATCCTAGCTATTCAGGAGGCTGAGATCTGAGGACTGCGGTTCAAAGCCGGCTCTGGCAGGTAAGTCCATGAGATTCTCATCTTCAATAAACCACTAGAGAACCGGAAGTGGCACTGTGGCTCAACTGGTAGAGTACTCGCATTGAGCTGAAGAGCTGAGGGACAGCACCCAGGCCCAGAGTTCAAGTCCCACAACCGGCAAAAAATTTAAAAAAATTTAAAAAGATGTGGTGCATACACACCATGGTATACTCAACTACAGAAGAAATGAAATATGGTCAAGTCATGTGGGACAAGGTGGATGCAAATGGAGGTTGCAGATAAAAATACACCATAAGCCACACAATACTGTATTATCTCACTCATATATGGAATATAAAAAGCAGCTCTCATAGACGTTGAGAATAAAACAGTAATTACTAAAGGCTAAAGAACTGGGAGGGAGCAGGGCTCTGCAATAGTAAAATGGAAAAAAGCTGCACATTATCTGCAAATACACATTTTAAAAAGTAGTATCCACCAGGCGCCAGTGGCTCACACCCGTAATCCTAACTACTCAGGAAGCTGAGATCTGAGGATCACGGTTCCCAAGTCAACCTAGGCAGGAAAGGCCATGAGACTCTTATTTCCAATTAACCACATAAAAACCAGAAGTGGGCCGGGCGCTGGTGGCTCACGCCTGTAATCCTAGCTACTCAGGAGGCTGAGATCTGAGGATCGCGGTTCAAAGCCAGCCCGGGCAGGAAAGACCGTGAGACTCCTATCTCCAATAAACCACCAGAAAACCGGAAGTGGCGCTGTAGCTCAAGTGGTAGAGCGCTCGCCTTGAGCTGAAGAGCTGAGGGACAGCGCCCAGGCCCAGAGTTCAAGCCCCACGACCGACAAAAAAAAAAAAAAAAAAAAAAACCAGAAGTGGATCTGTGGTTCAAAGTGGTAGAGATCTATCCTTGAGCAAAAGAGCTGGGACAGTGCCCAGACCCGAGATCAACTCCCATGATGGACCAAAAAAAAAAAAAAAAAGGTATCCTAGTCACTGCTGCAAAGACTGAAAAAGGTGAATCCCCATGTGTGTCCCAAGTGGTGTGGTGACAGGGGCAGGGAAGATCTCCATGAACCAGTTCCAACCTCTCCAGAATCCTGTTCCTTTAGTTCCAAGAGCCTCCGAGCCTCCAATAACTCTTATCCACCTGTAGTGTCTATCTTCCCAAGCAGACCCTCCCCCACACCTATAGCAATTCATAGCACAGCTTTCTTTAAAAACAGATGCCCTAGTGGTACTAGACACTATGTTGAAAATAAACTATACAATTGTGGGTGGGGTAGATGGGAAAAAAAGAGAGAGGAAAGGAGTGACACTGTCCAAAAAGAAATGCCCTCATTACCTCTGTACTCTGACTCCTCTGTACATCATCTTTATAATACCAAAAAAAAAAAAAAAAAAAAAGTTTCTTTAAAAGCTTCCCTGAGGGCTGGGAAGGTAGCTCAGTGGTAGATTGCTTGCCTTGCATGCATGAGGCTCCAGGTTGGATTCCTCAGCACCACATAAGCAGAAACAGCCAGAAGTGGTGCTGTGGCTCAAGTGGTAGAACCCTAGCCTTGAGCTGATGAGCTGAGGGACATGGCTAGGCCCAGATTTCAGACCCCACAACCGACCAAAACAAAAAAAGCTTCCCCGAAAGGAATTTTCACAGTAAGATCTTAAAATAAGATAAGTATTTCCTAAGCCAAGAGTAACGAACATACCTGACCTACAAGTCCAAATGAACGATCCAGACTCCTCTGGTCAGTGTATTTTCTGATTTTATTATGCAACCAACCCAGCTCAGAAAGTCTGATTGCTGTGTCCCTTATAGACTTATTTAGGTTTGCCTAGAAAGTAAGTCATCAAAAGTCAAAAGTTAAAACATGAATACTAAAATATTTATTTTTCTCATACACTTGTTCTTTTAATATTGTAATTCTTAGAATCTGACAGAGAAAATTAAAAGCACCATCATGAAAGCAAAGGGACACACACAGGCAGCAGGAGAGGGCACATGGTGAGGGCACACTGAGCTAAGCCACATCTCCCGTGGAGTCCCTGCCTCTGACCTGGAACAATCCTCAGTGGCACAGTCTGACATCAGTCCACTGAGAAAGGGCCAAGGAACATTGTAAACTACCCACAAAGCAGAACTGTGCAAAGACAGGTTCTAGAGGAAAACTTAAGCAGGAAACTTCTAATTCCACATCTCTGCAGCACTTAACACCAGCCATGGAAGACAGGGAAAAAAAGCCAGATTTGACTGTGCAACATCCCTGGTATACCCAAATTTGTAAAGTCCCAGGAACACCTAGTAAGCTAATAGCCCACTGTATGAACTTCTTCAGTTTTAGTCTTCTTGAACATTTTAAATGAGATTTTCAATCACTGTACCTTTCCTTCCACTTTGTAGCAATCTTCAGAGCTGCTCATTTTAATATGTTTGCCATCTATCCCCTGGAAGACGTATAGAAGGTCCCTCACAAGGGCTGCTTCAGTAATTTCTGTAATACCTATAAAATTATTTTTAAGTCAGCAATCACTAAATAACACACTTAAAGATAAAGTAAGTTTATGACATAATTAGCTGAGGTTTATACATTTCTCACCAAGACATCTGCAAGCTTAAGAGGAAAAAGAGGTGTGAGGCTAGAAAGAAATAGGGACTTTCTGAAAGGTGGTGGGGCTTTATTATACAATGTCTCCACTAGAGACCTCTTTATAGGTGACCCCACCTATGCACCTCAGAACCCCACCACACATCACTTCAGGAATGATTACATAACAGTCATGTCCACAGACTAGGGTACTGCACAGCAAGTACACTGAAAGGCCCACCAAGAAGGGTCCTCACAGCACAGAACACATGGCCAACATGTCCACAATGCCTCTGAACAAAAGCTAAGTCAGAATTTGAGTGCTGGCCCAAAACAAGGCCAACAAAACGAGAGGCAACGCCTGGAAATCTGAGACATCCATGGAAGAAAGAGGACCCGAAGGTGACAGAGGGAGTCTGTAATTCCAGAGCGCTGCACAGAGCCAAACGCAGGTGTGCATTTCACAGTCATGGGCAGACACAATACAAACACTACCATTCCAATCTCACCATAACCCTTGCCTGTTTCTACCTGTGATTCTGACAACTACAGAGAGAAGCTGAACTACACAGCTATAAGCTGAGTGTTCTTCTGTCTGATTGCTCTGTACACGTGACATCTCTGCCAGCAGGTGGAGAAAACTGGACCATCTTAATGTCCCGTCCAGGGACATCCTGAAGTCTACTTCAACAGTGACAGTACACCCAGATGTCTCATGATAGTGTTACCACCATTATGTTTGCCTAACTGCTTACTTTTAACCTACTTGTGTCCTTATAGTTAAAATGTTTCCTGTGAAATCATGTTAAGTGAAATAAGACAGGCTCAGAGAGACAAACGGCTCATGTTTTCTCTCATATGAGGAAGCTAGATTGAAAGTACAACTGGGCATGATAACGTATACAGGCCTCTATGCATTTACATACAAACTGGCTAAAGGAGGGTATACTTACAGGAGGAATACAAAGGCATAACTCCTCTCAACAACTAAAGTACTGGTTGTCAAAAGGAATATCGGGAAATGGAAGCATGTTTATCTCAAAGGGGGAACAACAGGGGAATGCACAGGAGTGGAGGGAGGGAGGGAGAATAAATTTTATTAATGAACTATATAATTTGTGGGAAGGAAGGGGAGAGGGGAAATGGAGAAAATAAAGGGGTGATATTGTCCAAGTAGCAGTGTACTCACAACCTAACTTAGAATTGTAACCTCTGTATAACTTAATAGTTTAAAAAATTTATTGCTTCTTGTAAGCAACATATAACATCAGAATAGAATCCTGAAATTAAATGTTTATACCATCTAGTGGAATTACTAATCCATCTCAGATAAAGCAGCTTATTGCTGTGCTTCCCATCTATCCCACTGCTCTTTCATCCTTATCTTTTTCTGCTTCTTCTGGATTAATTAAGGTATAGCTTGGTAGAGGACACATGCTCTAAGACAGTAGCTGGGGCTCAGAAGGAAAGGACAGCTCTCTGATTTGTTGAAGACACAGGTGTGCTATGTCCAGAGTGCCTGGCCTCCCTAAGACAGTGTGGAATCACAGGAGTGTTGCATGTATGCAGCTCAGGGAACAGCAGAGCTGGGTGCACACAGGACCTGCTGCACTGCTGAGGGCTCCAGGGTGTCCTCACAGTTCCAAAATGCAGGACTCCTGCATTCAACCAAGGCTAGACAAGACCTGCCTCAGACCTGCCTCAGTGTTAGCACGAAGTGAACCTGGCCATCAGTAAAGGCTGCTCTCTGAGTCCACAACACACATTTAAACACTCATGTTTCTAGATGTTCAAGAAAGACACTCAACTTCCTCTGGGAAGTAAGACCAGAGAGAACTGTGGCAGAAGGGAGAGAACTATGCAGAGCAGACAACATGCCCAGCCAGGCAAAAGTGGAGAGCGCCAGAATGAACAAGCCAGATGGACAGAGTGATTCTCCACCCCTCCAAGACATTTGGCCATAAGGAGACCCTGGAATGAGGAAATAGACCAGAAATTTTTAGTAAGGGCAAAATGAATCCTGACTGCTCAAAAACAACTTACTTACCACTCATGTCCCCATCTCTCCTTGACCTTGGTGTGTTTCGAGAAAGAGAGTTTGGGATACCCTTTGAGGTAGGGGTTTGTGAAGAAGGCTGATTTGTATTTATAGTCCATGCAAGACGTGACCCCAATTGCTGCCGAAGGCAATCCCCAACTCCTGGAGCTTGATGAGACTGTCTAGAGAAAGAAACATTTATGTCTTCAAATAACTAGACTGTTTCTCAAAGACACAAAACTATCCCTGGAAATTTTATTCATGGTCTTACACTAAATTTCTATAATTTATACCAGAACTTTACCCAGGTGGATAGCCAGAACAATCAGCCCCAGGTTCATTACACTGTCTAGACTAGTAACAACCGTGGCCCAGGAAGTGGCGCTAAGGCTCAACTGGTACAGCCCTCGCCTGGAGCTGAAGAGCTGAGGGATAACGCCCAAGCCCAGAGTTCAAACCCCATGACTGACAAAAAAAAAAAAAGAATAGTGGCCCAGAATGCAAACCCACACCATGAGGCACCCCCATTCTACAGTCCTACCCACCCACCTTCCCTATTTGACTTTACAAATAATGGCATACATTGCCCATATATAACACCTTGAGAATCTCTACTAATTTTAACTTAAAAGTCACTACCTCTCATTCAGCCAATACTTTCTGAGCAGAGGAGTTTAAATGTCTAGCACTGATCCATCTGCCTACCCCCATTCCCCTCCTGTCCTCAGGCTGGCTCACTGTGATTTCAAGATCTGGAATTTCAGTTACTCTGAAAAATGCATAAACACATAAAATGGAAGGCAAATATACATCACATGTTCAGACAGTTTTTAGAAATTTTGAGAATCTGTTACAACTGCATTTGAAATCTGATTCTGAAGCTGAAATGGAAACAGGTTTTTTTTCTACATTGTCTTTGTTTTCTTTTTGTTTATTTATGTCTTTGGAAAAATAACGAAGGGCATGAAACTGGAGGGACAAAGGGTGAACAAATGCAGTAGGGGTACTCACTAGATACTATGTTGAAAATGAATTATATAACTTGTGGGTGGAGATGGGAGGGAAAACTGGGAGAAACCTAGGGAAGGGATGACAGTGTCAAAAAGAAATGTACACATTGCCTAGTTTGTATAACTGTAACCCCTCTGTACATCAGCTAAATAAAAATGAAAATATTCTGAAGCTGATTTTCAATAATGTATGTTTGGACAAGTGTAACAAAAATATCACTACTGGGACAGCAAAACACAAAAATGAAACTGTGGACTACACCCGCCTCAGGCACCAAAGTTCCTATTCAGAACCAGTATATAGGTGGTAGTCCATACACAACCCACTCTTGAAGCAGGAGGGGAGGAAGCTGACACAGTTGTGTTCTCTTTGAACCTCACTGAGACAAAGCCAGTAACATCAGTCACTAAAACTGTTCACTTGAAAACAGTTGTAAATTTAAAAGGCTGGCTGGGCACCAGTGGCTCATGTCTATAATCCTAGCATCACAGTTCAAAACCAACTTGGGCAGGAAAGTCCGTGAGACTCTTCTGTCTCCAACTAACCATCAGAAACCTGACGTGGAGCTGTGGCTCAAAATGAAAGAGCACTAGCTTTGAGCAAAAGAGCTTGGGGCCAGCACCAAGGCCCTTAGGTTCAAGACCCATGACCAACCAAAAAGAAGAAGCTGATTCAGTTCAAAGTTCTATACAAATTTGTTGTACTATAATAACCACTCCCAATTCCAAGATACAGAAGACAATGTCAGCTTGCTCATTCAGCTGTTAAAGAGTTTTAAATTATGTCAAATGCTACTTTGTATGCATTAAATGCTCTTTACAGAACACAAACCCACCCAATCTATACATAATACATAGTCCTATTCTAATACCCTGAACATAACTTTAAAACTCACAAACTGATTTATCATTCTACTCTGCTCAGATGGAAAATACCACATACTGATCCTGATTCCCCAAGTGCTTTGTGATCATCTGCTGTACTGTGATTTCCAGTATTGAACAATGGCAAAAAGCAATCACTTGAGGTTCTAAGGTCCAATGACAATGGCATCCGCTGTATTCTCAACCATAAAGTCTGTACTTCCTCCAAACATAATTAGACTAGACAGCATGTTAAGCCACAAGGACTGTCAAATCTCTGCTGTGTCTTCCTAGGTCCTGTAATCTTCATTCATGTATATGAATAAAGCAAAATTATCAACCCCATTACGTATTCAAGATGAACAGCATAATCAGGTAAGACATGGCCTAGACACACGTGGCCCATGTCGTCCTCCACAGCCTAGCTAGTTTAACATGACACAGCTGGTTGTCTCTAGTTCTACCATGGCAAGAGTACTTGTGTCAGTTGGCATTACCCTGGGAGAAAAGGCTGGGGTGCGGGTGTAGGACCACTGGGGCCACACATGCTGATGCTGCTGATGCCACTGCTGCCCAAGCTGCCAGCACTCTGCGCTGCCTGGGTGCTTCGGTCCTGGTAATTCAGGGGGAGGGTCTGAGGCCTAGCGTAGTAGTAGGGAGTTGAATGGGCATCTCTTGGTAATGGTTGAGCAAACAACGAAGCATAGCTAGACACCTGAAATGAAAGGGCATTAAGACACAGAGATAAGAGATTACAAGAGAAGTTTACAAGAACTTATATTCCTCTTCTCCTGCTACTACTGGAATTAAATTCAGATTTCAAACTGACTACACAATAACTTAGTGGAGAGACTTTTGAAATGTCAGAATTGACAAAAGTTTATGAGTTTTTTGAACTGCAATAACTACTAGTTCTGACAGCTGAACATTTTATTTATTTTGTATCCCAAAAAACTCATATAGTATTTTTAATACTTATTTTTATTAAGTAGTTGTACAAAAGGTTTCACCCCCAGAAGTTAGGTTATATGAAACTTATAAAAGGAGCACTATTAAATAAATCAGAGAAGTTCAATGTTCAGATCAAGGCTTCCGAGAGAAATACAATTAACTCTTCCACTTATTGGCTTTTTTGCAATCAAATACCTGCAACAGAATACTTTATGCACGAGATCCAGGGCAGGGGCATGGGGCAGGCTGTGATCCCCAATACTTCACTGAACAAAACAGACCTTTGCAACCCTAGGAATGGCACACCCCAAAGTCTCTAATAAGAATAAATATTTTAGAGGGAAAAAGAAAGATGGAGGGTAAATCATTTCAAAATACAGTGTAACTATGTATGAAGAGGGCTTAGGAAATGTCAATGAAAGCAGTGAACTAACAGGGAGCTGGAGAAGCATAAAAGAGAAAGTAACAGAGTTATTCTGAGCAAAGCATAGTATGTACATCTGAAATACCACAGTAATACCTTCGCAATTAATACATTCTTAAAATAAAGGATGAGTTGTAAGCTGGTGGCTCACACCTGTAATCCCAGTTACACAGAAAGCTAAGGTCTGAGGGTTGTAGTTTTCAAAGGCTGCAATCTGAGGCTGTGGTCCAGCCAGAGCTAGAAAGTTGGTGAGACTCTTATCACCAAGTAACCACTCAATAAACAGAGTAGAGCTGTGGCTCAGGGGATGAAGCATCAGCCTTAAGCAAAAAAAAGCTAAGGGACAGCACTCAGGCCCTGGGTTCAAGCTCCAGTATCCATATGTAAATTTCTTAAAAAGGATACAGAGTAAGACAGGTTGAGATGTAGAGGTGGGCACCAAGGGAAGGGAATGAATGAGGATGAACTGGCCAGTGTAGTTTATTTGAACATATGAAAACAGAACAGTGAAACTACAAGAATTACTCTACAAAATGAGAGTGGGGTAGGGAAGAATGATGGAGGGGCTACTCAGTATGGGTATGAATTCACAATGAAACCTTCCTATTCAACTGTTGTACACTAATAAAAATTTTAAAAAGATCAAATCTTTTACATCATTCTATTTTTTTCAATAATAGTACTATCTCCCTTGAAAACATTCTTAGAACTTCCCAAACACTATGATTAGAGAAATTATCATGGATCACTATCTTTATTAATGTCCCCTGTAAGCCACATATCACCACTATGGCAATCACCACTCATTAATGAGTTTTCCTCATCTGAAAGCACAAAAAAAATCCCAGAGGACTCCCAGTTAGTCCTTTAAAAGCACAAGTTCTTAAACAGACAATTTTATCAGAATTTAGCATAAGAAACACTCCTTCAAGAAAGTGTACACTAAAAATGTCCCCCCAAAAAGCTGTAGTTTACAACTGTAATCCTAGCTCAGGAGGCTGAGATCTTAGGATTGTAGCTCGAAACCAACTCAGGCAGGAAAGTCCATGAGACTCTTGTGAGACTCTTATCTCCAATTAACTAACTGCAAGAAAAATAGAAGTGGTGCTGTGGCTCAAACAGGTAGAGCACAAACAAACCTTGAGCAGAGAGCTCAGGGACAGCATGCAGGCCCTAAGTTTAAAGCCCCACAAGCAAAAAATAAATAGACATTCCATGACAAGGTTTTTGCTTTTCTTCCATTACATTCTTACCTACAGGGTGACTGCTACTGAAATTCAGTATGAACATTCCAACAGAACCATGATGTGCCGTAGAGTAACTTACCTTGCTCGCTTGCTTGCGAGGATCCTCACTAAGGTTCAACAAGAGGTAGAGTACTGACCAAGTATTTTTCAAAACTCCCTGTTTAGAAAAAAAAAACATTGTAAGTACTACTTCATACAAAATTTCATTTTCTTCTCTCCTAAATTATACTCATTCCCAAAGTAGAAATGAATTTTTTTTTACATGTGCGTGTACCAGTCCTGGGATTTGAACTCAGTGCTGTCTCTGAACTGTTTTGCTCAAGGCCAGCACTCTACAACTTGAGCTATGGCTCCATTTCTGGCTTTTTGGTGATTAACTGGAGATAAGAGTCTCCATGACTTTCCTGCCTGGGTGGACCTTGAACTTCGACCTTCAGATCTCACACTCAATTACAGGCCTAAACCACCAGTTCCCCCTCTGAAATGAATTTTAAAATTCACCTGGTATCATTAAATCTGTGCTCATTAAACACATAATTAGCACTACCCAACAAAAGGCTTACAGAAGGGCTGGGAAGGTGGCTCAGTGGTAGAGCTCTTGCCTTGCATGCATGAGGCCCTGGGTTCGATTCCTCAGCACCACATAAGCAAAAAGAAAAAAGCCGGAAGTGGCTCTGTGGCTCAAGTGGTAGAGCGCTAGCCTTGAGCTGAAGAGCTGAGGGACAGCGCCCAGGCCCAGAGTTCAGGCCTGTGGAGAGCTGCGGGAGCTGGCCAAAGATGGCGCGGCCGCATGGCACGGTCAAGCCAAAGATGGCGCTGGCTTCCGCCTTCCGCCTTCCCGATGGCGAGTGCTCTCTGTGAAAAACAACTCCTTATATGGCTATGGCTTGGCTCCTAGTTTGCTTCCGTGTTTGCAACCCTATTGGTATATGCCACGTGGCACCTCGGGATTGGCCATCCAGGAGGCTTATAACCGGAGTGCGGGTGCGGGGCGAGAAAGAAGCTAATAATCAAGGTTCCTGAATAAACTGCTTTGAGAAGAATCCCGGGTCGTGTCTTCCTTGCTGGTCGAGGTGGATGCGACAAGTGGTGGCTCGTACGGGGAAGGGATCCAGAACTCTTGGCAGTCAGGGTGGTGCACCGGTAAGTTCCCAGGTAAGTGGGAATCCGCGATTAAAGCGGGCATAATACGGGGCTCTTCTCTGTAGATAAAGAGAGAGCGGAAACCCGGGAAAAAATAAAGGCCTAAAGTAAAAGTAAGAATATAAATATAAAAAATAAAAAAGGGAGTAAAAAAAAAAAAAAGGGAGTAAAAAAAGATAAAATTTTTATAACTAAGATGGGTGCCGCGATGTCTCATCCAATTTTTCTGGCCCTGAATGAGCTCCTACGCTCAAAAGGACTAAAGTTTAAGAAGGGTGTTTTACAGAGTTTCCTTGAAGAATGCAACATTGTAGCTCCTTGGTTCATAGTGTCAGGGAGCCTTACAGTAGCCTCGTGGGAAAAATTAGGGAGGGATTTGGACTTTGCCTATGAACAGGGCACATTAAAGGCAGGAGTCCGCACCATTTGGAAACTGATAAGGGGCTGCCTGGAGGACCAGCGCTGCTGTGAGGTTATAGAAAATGGACAGTCAGCACTGGAGCAGTTACAGGAGGAGAGGTCAGAGAAGGCGATCAGTGAAAAGGGAGACAGTAGACAGGGCAAAAGGGGGCAACTATACCCAGATCTGTCTGAGCTGAAATCGGAAAGAGAAAGTTCCAGTGAGTTAGAGGAGGAAGAAGTGAGAGCACTTATTCAACAGATGAAAAGGAGTCGTATAAAAAAGGGAAAACATAAGCTAAGCCAACCTGTGCTTAATGAGGATGTGGAAAGAACTTTTGGTCAGGCCCCTTTAGATGACGTAAAAGGAACTTCCGGTCAAGTCCCCTTAGGTCCTCCTCCATATCAACATGAAGCCAATGGGCATACGTTTTGCCCGGATACTTGGCGGACTGCCCGAGCAGAACTCGCCTTCCCAGTTTTTCAAGACGGTAATCAACAGAGATTTCATGAGCCTCTAGAATTTAAAGTAATTAAGTCCCTGGCTGAATCTGTTTGGACGTATGGGATTACAGCCTCTTTTACCGTAGCTCAAGTGGAGGCTATAAAGAGATACTGCATGACCCCCTCTGATTGGGCGAGCCTAGCACGGGCATGTTTGAGTCCAGGCCAGTACTTGGATTGGAGGGCATTTATGCTGGAATTTTGTAATAAACAGGCAACCATCAATCAAGCGAACGGACACCAGGCTTGGGACAGAGATATGCTCTTAGGACAAGGTCGCTTTGCTAATGTGCGTGGTTTCCCCTTTTGTGTTTTTGGTAATTAACAACATCTCTATATGCTCAGATGATGTGTGTGCTTGCACTAATGAAACCTGCTATTATGCTACCTGCTGGAGTTCTCAGTATCCGTTAGCTATAGTTACACGCATTCCGCGTTGGGTGCCTGTGCCAGTAGATGCTTCTCAAGCTGTAACCTTGTTTAGGCATAAGAGAGATTTTGGCATCACTGTGGCCATTGTAACTGCTATAGCTGTAGCTGCTGCAGGTGCGACGGCTGCCGCTGTCGCCATGTCACATACTGTGCAGACGGCTCAGACTTTAAATAATTTGTCGGCTACTACAGCCAGAGCTCTGGATTTACAACAAGTGGCCTTTGCACAATTAAAAGGAGGACGGATGCTGTTAAATCAAAGGATTGACCTTGTGCAGGAACAGGTTGATATCATGTGGCAGTTGGCTCAGCTGGGATGTATTCAAAAATATGAAGGGCTTTGTATTACTGCTATTCAGTACTATAACTATACTCAGGCAGCAAATTTGTCTAAACAACTGTCAAGTTATCTTTTAGGCAACTGGACAGGAGAATTCGACCAATTGATGTTGCAGCTACGATCGGCCATTGTCGCGGTAAACTCCACCTGGATGGATGATGCCCTGTTACAAGATGTTTCCTCCTGGATTTTGACAGCTGTGGATCATTTGAAGGAGTGGGCGGGATTAGGCTTCCTTATCGGTATCCTGGCATTGGTGATCTTGCTGTGCCTGTGGTGCATATGCTGGATTAGGAGCTCGCAGCGCAGGAGTATGGCTATGGTGGTCCAGGCCTTCACTGCCATTGAGGCCGGACAGTCCCCCCACGCGTGGCTTGCCACGTTAACGGAATAGCACAGGGTGTAAGGCAAACGCACTGCACTTGGGCAAACGCACTGCACATGGGAATCACTTCCTGGCGTAAGCCCAAGAAGAGCATGTTGGGTTGCAAGTGGGTTGATGCCCAAGATCCCACCTCTGCAAAAAAGGCATCGGACGGGCCTGGTCGTCACTGGGGAAGGCGCCCCTCAGGCGAAGACCAGTGCAAGGTCCTCTCATTAATGTTTTAGACAGAGGCCCAACCTCTACTCTTACCTGTCGCTTAATAAAACAAAAAGGGGGAGCTGTGGAGAGCTGCGGGAGCTGGCCAAAGATGGCGCGGCCGCCTGGCACGGTCAAGCCAAAGATGGCGCTGGCTTCCGCCTTCCGCCTTCCTGATGGCGAGTGCTCTCTGTGAAAAACAACTCCTTATATGGCTATGGCTTGGCTCCTAGTTTGCTTCCGTGTTTGCAACCCTATTGGTATATGCCACGTGGCACCTCGGGATTGGCCATCCAGGAAGCTTATAACGGGAGTGCGGGTGCGGGGCGAGGGAGAAGCTAATAATCAAGGTTCCTGAATAAACTGCTTTGAGAAGAATCCCGGGTCGTGTCTTCCTTGCTGGTCAAGGTGGATGCGACACAGGCCCCACGACCGGACCCAAAAAAAAAAAAAAAAAAAGGCTTACAGAGATGATGCTCCGTAATCACCCCTGCACCTCCCTAGAAAGATGCTCCAAAGTCTCCAATAACAAATATTTCACATTACCCATTTTTTTAAAAAAAGTTTATTGATATTGATATCATTCTATTTTTTTCAATAACAGTATTATCTCCCCTGAATACATTCTTGCCACATAAAGAAGTTACATTTATACATTTATATAAGTCAGGTAATGAATATCTTTTTTGGACAATGTCCCCCCCTTCCCTCAACATTATCCAATTTTTTTTTTTTTAATTTTTTGGTCAGTTGTGGGGCTTGAACTCTGGGCTTGGGCGCTATCCCCCAGCTCTTCAGCTCACGGCGAGCGCTCTACCACTTGAGCCACAGTGCCACTTCCAGTTTTCTAGTGGTTTATTGGAGATAAGAGTCTCACAGACTTTCCTTGCCTGGCGGGCTTTAAACCGTGATTCTCAGATCTCAGCCTCCTGAGTAGCTAGGATTACAGGCGTGAGCCACCAGCACCCAGATTACCCAATTTTTAATAACACTGTTACATCTAAAAATATTTTTACAATTTCCCAAACACAGTAAGGAGAGAAACATCATCATAAAATATGTACCTCTTCCTCCTTCATTAATATCCCACTGGAACACAAAACCGAAGAATATAAAAAGGAATTTGAAGCACTGAGCTTCAGGGTAGGGGCCCTCCTCCCTTCCCGCCCTCTCCCTCCCAGGCCTCCACATACAGTCACCCCAGATGTCACAGACTCCAGCCATCTATCCCACCATCAATCAGCATGTGCTACCTCACTTCACCAGGCAGCAGATTCTGTGTGCACATTCTTACCTTTGGGCTATAAAGGCTAAAATATATAAATACCTTTTCCAAAAACAAAATTACTGGATGTGTAAGAAACACCTTAAAAAGATGCTTGTGGTGAGACTATAAATTAACTAAAAACTGTTCAGCCCCTCACTTTGTATCTCTGCTCTTTCATGTGAGGTGTTCTCTGCTGCAGTCACTTTACAACTACCTCCGACTCCAGGAAAAACAAGATTCACCAATCAGCATCTTGTCACAGAAGGCAACCTTCCCTTCAAACAAGTACAGTCATTTCATCATCTGACAGAGAACAGCCAAAATGCAGGAGACCACTCACCAGATTACTTAGCCCCATTCTGTTCCAGTGGTAAAGTGGTAACAACATCTCTGAATTCCTCCAGAGAGACTCAAGTGATGATGAACCAAGCCATAGTGTGAACTATGCATACATATCTTCTCATCCTCTGCCCCTAATTCTTCCCCTGCTAAAACTTAATTCTGTTTGAAAGGAAATACTACCTACAAAAGCCATTAGTGATAAGAAAATAATGTAATGTGATAGCACCAACATAGGTTCAAGTATTTGCAAACCATCATGAATATCCTTTCCACTCACATACTATGAACACCTTCTTCACTCATGCACTGACTTCAGAATACCTGCCCATACCTGCGAATGAAGCTTTCTGTGCAGCTCTGAAAATAATGCAGCATCTGCCTCTCTCCTTTGTCGGATAACTGAAAAAATTAGAAAATAAAAATCAAATGTGTTAATCACATATACTGAACATTTTTTTATAAACATATTTTATTGTGAAAATACCGTACAGGGGGGTTACAATTACATGGGCAAGATAATGAGTACATTTCTTATCAAGCATTGTAGCCTCCTCCTTTGTTTCCCCTTCCCATCCCTTCACATCCTCCCCCTCTTTCCCCATCCCCCCCACCAAAGTTGTAAAGTTCATTTTTCAACATAACGACTTGTACACCTTATTGTTGCAATGCGTCTTCCTGTATCCCTGTTTTAACGATTTTTTTTTCCCTTCCCCTCCACATGTACCAACATCAAATACAGTGAAAGCAGGGGTTATACCATGGGACATACAAAGCAACAAAGACATAATCTTATAAACTGAACTTTTTTTTTTTAATCGTGGGGCTTAAATTTTGGGCCTGAACACTGTCCCTGAGCTCTTCAGCTCAAAGCTAGCACTCTACCACTTGAGCCACAGCACCACTTCTGGTTTTCTGGTGCTTTTTGGAGATAAGAGTCTCACAAACTTTCCTTCCCAGGCTGGCTTTGAACCATGATCCTCAGATCTCAGCCTCCTTAGTAGATAAGATTATAGGCATGAGCCACTAGCATCTGGCCTGAAAGTCATTTTTATGATACTGTTTTACCTACAATATCATATGGCTCAGAATCCCAAACTTCAGAGTCCCAAGAACCTGACCAGATGTGTCAAGGAGCTCTGAGGTTGGATAGCCCCTCTATGCTCTTTGATATTTGTAACATATGGAAAGTACCAGGCTGGAATCAAAGCATTTTGTAAAAACTGATTATATAATAGAAATGGCAGCTACTAATCAAGTTTAAGGCTATCACCAATTTAACTAATAATAGCTAAACCTAGGAGAGAAATGGGAAATAAGAAAACCTTTGGATTCCAAGGTTCAAAAAGTAGTGTTAACATTTATGATAGTTAATGTTTTCATGAAAATCTACAGTAATGCTTCAGCTTATTAGCTGATTTTCATTTTACTAACAGGAGTCTTCGGAAGATCTAGTTACACTCCGAATTACATGAAAGCAGTGGAAGCAAATGAGTTCATGCTATGTTCTGCTCCATGACAAAGGAGAAGCTACACCAGACGTGGGTTCAGGAGTGACCAGCACTATGGAGAAAACAGCTGTAGCTGCCAGGAAAGGTGCTGTGTTTAGTTAACCCAGAACAGGCCTGGTGGTGTATGCCTGTAATCTCAGCGCTTGGGAGGGAACCTGAAGGAAGAGGGTCCCAAGTTCTAGTTCCAGGCCAGCCTGGACTACACAGGGTTTGCAGGAATGGATCCTGCCAGCTAACACTGCTGAAATGAATTACACACAGATTTGCAATTCTACTCTGAACTGTTCTTTCATAGAAAGGAAAAGCTGTCTTCAAAAATGTGTTATACAAAGTGCATCCAATGAAGTGCATTCAGTTAAAATGAAATGCCATGTATACATTTAAAACAACAGAAAGGTGTGCTACATAAATAAACCATTGGATAGTCAGTGGTGTTCTTCCTTCAGAATAAATATTTTCCCCAATATATTACAGTCGTTAAGTTTAAAAAAAAAAAAAGCAACACTGATTATTTGTAAGTGATGATTGCAGACTTGAACTGCTAAGCAGAAAGGAAAACCTTGAGTTATAGTGCATCCCACACACCAGTGAGAAAAAAATAAGGAACAAGTAGATGTGAAATACTGCCAATCCATGTTTGCTTTTGCTGTTTGTTTTGGTATAAAAGGATATTGTCATTTTATATTTGAAGGCAGCCATATAAAATGGAAAATTAGCTTTTTTGTATTATTCCAGAGTGAACTGTTGGAACACAACTAGTGCAAGATGCCAACAACTGTAATCAAACTTCAAATGCCTAAAATCTCATGACATATGACAGGTCAACATGACCACCACAGAAGGAGACCTCAGGAATGAGTGAGGGGTGATTGCTAGAGGCAACTAAAAGAGCTACAGAATACGTGCCCTACAGCAACAATATAAACACAGGAGCCACAGGTGGTATTAAAATGACTTCCTTCTCTATGTCAACAATGAAGCTTCCTATTCTTTAACTCCAAGCTCACACAAACTTTATTATTGACTATTACATGTATTTGCAGAATCATCACAGGCTATGAAAAGCAAGTTCTCAAAGGGAATGTTCTGCTTGTACAATACATTAACAGTTGGGTTTCTAGGTATTAACCTAAAATGTAAATCACTTTAGAGTTCAAGAGTAAAAGAACCACGCTCTTAAGTCCAATCAGACAGACACAGAACAAAAGTAAGCTTTATAGGTTAAAAGAAAGTTATTAAATACTCCATCTTTATATTCCTCTGTATTCTATAATATATTATCTGTCCCATTTTTAATGGGGGACAGGTTCAAGATCTCTAGGCAGGAGAGATGTTTAAAAGCACAGGATGGTATCAAATCCTGTATCTTTTCATTTAAAGGACGCACTTTACAGCTTCTCTTTGGCATAGCTGAACTGCCAGTATCAGTACTCTTATGCTTTCAGGTTATTATTAGAAAAAATAAAGTGGCTGGGCATGGTAGTGCACACCTGTAATCTCAGCTACCTGGGAGCTGGAAGGAGGAGTATCATGAAATTTGAAGGTAGCCTGGATAGGTGATCATAAGGAAAACAAGGCTATGTGAACACAAGTGCTGCCCTACTAAATAGCTGATCTGACAAACAGGAAGGGCAGGCAGGCACTGGACATGCAGATGGGGGTTGGTTCTCTGACAAGCAGGAAGGGCAGGCAGGCACTGGATATGCAGATGGGGGTTGGTTCTCTGACAAGCAGGAAGGGCAGGCAGGCACTGGACACACAGATGAGGGATGGTTCAGGTTCTTGGTGCAACAGAGTAGGGCAGTACTCAGGCACATAATTTAAAATTTATGATTTGTTTCCTTTGGGATTTTTTTCTTCGGTATTTTCAGAACATGGCTAAACATGAGTAATAGAAACCAAGAAAAGGACACAGCTGACAGGAAGAGCCATGGTCCATGCCTGCTGAGTGACACAAAGACTCTGAGGCAGCAGATGGGTCCCTGCTCAAGCCCTAGATGGGCAAAGACTGTACAGCCTGACCCCACTGTGTTTAGGGCACAACCTCCACAATCAACAGCCATGCCATCTGTTCATGACACAGCTCCAAAACATACCATCAATAAAGACCACGGGCCCTAGGTAGTTTATAATAAACAACTGGTGGGAGATTGTGTCAAGCAAACAACTTCCTACATGTAAGTATGATTGTCAATTTGCTAAAGCACTGGAATCATGGCCAAATCTACTTCCTTGGGCAGTTTAATAGCTAGGCCTCTGAAGGAAAAAGGCTGATTTTCAGGCCAGGCCTCTTTCTAGTCAAGCTGTTCCCACAGCCCAGGAAACGGTCAAGAGTGGAGAACCAGCCTCTAGTATAAACCAACATCCAACCAGAAGCACAGCCTCTTCTGCAGGCTGCCTGCTACTCAGAACTGAGCTTTCACACTGCGGCCAGCAGGTGAGCAGCAAGGACAGATCCCATCCATTGAAAAACTGACAAAATGAGCGCTAATAAGTAGACAGATCCCATCCAGCCAACCACTGACGAAATGAGCACTACAAGTAGACAGCCTTCCTCTCCACCACTTAGGAGAGTCACCTAAGAATCAGAATGCTTGCAGTTCTACAGTACCACAAGTCTGAGGGTGACAATGAACAGAAGCAAAAATGGATTCATTCAGAGTTGTCCATTGCTCAGATGGTGTTTCAGGTCACCTGGTCAAAAGGCACAAAATAATAAACCCTGCAAATCACAGGGAAGTAGAAAGTTACATCAAGCCATGTTGCCTCCTCCCATACACTAAAACCAAATTGTATTGTTGTAACAGTATTTAAAATCAAATCCTCCAGTGTGTCCAAAAAGTTTTAATTCCAAAACAGAAGTGAGTTCTCCTTATTTTTTAATAATACTTACCTTAAAGTATGTACATTTTAATAATACATACATTAAAATGTCTTAGAACTACAGACACTGATACATGCACAAGCATATTCATACGTGTTGTGTCAAGTTTCAGAAGAAAAATACATACGCTCTTTCTTGATTTTTTCAGCTACTAGAAACTCGTCTCTTTCAACAGTTGGGGCAAAGTTGCTGCCAATAACACGCACAGCAAACTGGAACTGCTGCGCTACATCAGCTGAAAGACAAACAAAGGGCAAATTACAGCCAATCAGATCACATTTCAGGACTCACAGCTTAAGCAACTGGACGCATGAGTTTACCTTCCACTTCCCCCCATTCTGTCTTAACTAACAGCATGGAAAAGCTCTTATGAGATCAAACTAATGGCTAAATGAATAAACACGAGACAGACAGCAACAGGCCAGCCAGCTGGAAAAATTCTAGAAGACAGAAAACAAACTGGATTGATAATCAATGAAGAAGGAGCAGGAAAAGTCAGAGTAGGCACAGGGTATAAGAAGCAAGCCTAGTCAAGACAGCCTTTGAGGAGCTCCCAGGTTAAAACAAAACACCAGAGACTTTGGACAACTGAGAGTCTACATCTTCATCGCTAGGTAAAGATGATGACTTATGCACATGTTTGCTTTTACTCTCCTCAAAAACACCATTAAACTGGGTTGGGAATGTGGCTTAGTGGTGGAGTGCTTGCCTAGCATGCAAGAAGCCCTGAGTTCGATTCCTCAGTACCACATACACAGAAAAGGCCAGAAGTGGCGCTGTGGCTCAAATGGTAGAGCGCCAGCCTTGGGCACAGAGAGATTCAAAGACAGTGCCCAGGCCCTGAGTTCAAGCTCCAGAGCGGGAGGGCGCATTAAATTGCAGAATAAAGCAATTTTTTCAAATAAGACAAACATCTCCAAAGGCAGAAGTAAAGCCAGCAAGACTTCCACAAAAGAGTTAGAGGTTGGAAAGCAGACAGATGTGTGGCAACTTGCTCCGATGGATAGTGAAACCTGAAAGCTCCAAGTCTACAGGGACAGGAAGGAAAAGGAGTAGTTGGGGATCAAAGGCCAGGAATAAACAGTGCTCTCTGCAGACACCCAGAGAAGGAGGAAAGAAGTGCTCTCTTCCCAGGGTATACTGCCATGGCAGAAGAGGCCTGGATGCAAGTCTGAAAAACTAACCACAGGCCCCTACCTGAGTGCAGCTTGATGACCATTACTGACCCCTTCATCAGACAGTAAGTAAAATACTGACCTCAGGGAGCACCAGCCCTCTATAGGAGATCAGCTAAGTCCAGCCAAGCCAAGCCAATGGCCAGCATAAGTTCCTCTACAAGGAAGCACAGTATCTGTGAAAGGCTGCCCTGGCACAGAGCTTTCAAAGCACAAATATCACCAGACATTTGAGCACAGCAAGAGAAACAAAAACAAGAAGAAAGAAACTAAAAATGAGAGAAGAACTTTTAAAACAAAAATTAGTAGAGGTGAAATATAATGTATAAACAGAATAAAACCTGGATGCTACAGACACATCCAAAGAAGTTCCTGAATTGTGAAAATATGATAGCAGAATGTGTTCAAGAGCAGAAAACTTGTATTTAAAGTTGAAGAATTAGAAAGGATGAAGGGCAGGTGCGAAGGTGTAAGAGTGAATGCAAAGGTATAAATATGATAAATGCATTTTGCATGATTGTATGGAAATATCACTGCAAATCTTATTAACATGTACAATTAATATGGGCTAATAATTTTTAAAGAGTCCCTTTAAGTACTACAACAAAAGGTAAAAAGATGGAAATGGAGCCAGTCCAGTTAAGTTGCAAGGTAGGGCCAGGCAGAAGGTGGAAGAAGAAAACTGAAGTGGTATAATTTCCAAGAGGAATCTAGGAAAACAGCTAAAAAAAAAAAGGGGGGGGGGGGAGGGGGGCAATGGCTCATACCTGTAATACTAGCTACTTAGGAGGCTAAATCTGAGGATTGCGGTTCAAAGCCAACCCTGGCAGGAAAGCCCGTGAGACTCTAATCTCCAAGAAACCACCAGAAAACCGAAGTGGCACTGTGGCTTGAGTGGCAGAGCAGTAGCCTTGAGCTGAAGAGCCCAGGGACAGTGCCCTAGCCCAGAGTTCAAGCCTCACAACAACAAAGGAGTAGGGAGGGGACAAAGGTCTCTAGAGTGAAAGAAACCTTGGCAAAGGGAAAGGAAGAGAGGGCAGGCAAATTCTCTTACTAGTTATCTGAGGGTATAGCTCAAGTGGTAGAACACCTGCCTAGGAAGTAGGAGGCCCCGAGTTCAAACCTCAGTATTGCTCCTTAAAAAACAAAATCTGGCCAACTAGTTACCTGGTTTATAGCACCCGCTTTACTCAGATGGAAGGTCCCACCTCAGAAGGGAGTCTGAATTAAAGCATATCCAGCTCTCTCCCCTGCACGAAATCAGCTGGGGACAACCATGGGTGGTCAGCAGGCCTGCCAGGCCCTTCTGTGAACTTGAACTGAAGCCTCCAGGGGCAGCCTGAGCCCACCCACTGTGAACAAGCCCTATTCCACCTGCCATTCAAAGGAGCGGATGGGCCATGAGAAGACATCCGGCAGCAGCTACCAACAAGTCTTCATTCGTAAATGGAAATGTGAACTAGGAGGGCAGGCTGAATTCAGTATACTGTCTTCCCACATTATACACAACTCAAAACTCCTAGAAAGGCCAGAAAATAATTAAGGAAGATACAACCAAAGCCAGAAGACTGGACAGAAAAGGAGAACTCTTGGTGAAACAGAAATTTAAAAAAACCTTGAAAGATGGAAAGATGGACTTGACTTTAAAGAAGAATCAACAGAAACTGTCACAGGTGAATAGGGAAGACACGAAAACTAAAATTGCTAAAAAGAGACTGACCATCAGACAGAAAACCACACACAGTGTGCAACTCAGGAATCCAGGAACTGGAAGGTTTTTCTGGTTTGGGTTTTTATTTTTGTTTTTATATAGTGTGCTTGCTTTTTGCCTCCCATATACTCCAACCAGGGTGGCACAACCCTCCAAATCCAAACCACACATAGGCAAAGAAAAAACCCAAGGAAAGGCCCTTTCTCCAGACAGGCAATAGCAAACAGGGAGAGAGATTCCAGAGTCAGGTGACCTAGTCCCAAAGCCAGCCATTCTGTGACCCTCACTCTCCACCCCTAGCACTTTCTGGGGAGCCCTGTCCCTCCTGCTCCTACACACGTCCCCAGTAGGACACTCTATTTAAAAACCACACACCCATCAGTATCCCAGCTTCAACAGAGGGGGAGGAGGCAGAAAAGGGAGAGAAAAGCAGACCCTTTAAAGCACCTAAAAAATGGTAAATAAGATGCAAACACTATTCAAATGAATGTGAACTGTTTCTATTCATACCAAAGGAAAGTGTAGACTCAGAAAACTTATCATGGATAAAGAAAGATATCACTCAATGATTTTAAAAAATAAGCGGCTAAGAAGACAACAATTTCAATGTGGACGTTCTTTAGTACATTTGCAAGACATAAGAAGCACTGGTAGAATAAGGAAACAAACACATCCTCAAGTAGACTCGCAGACATCCATGGGACTGCCTCAGTAAGAGGGGCCACTGAAGGGAAATGACTAACTCCACTAGCCAACCAGAGAAGCCTGCCAGCACAGGTGAGTTAGCAGCCAAGGCCAACATCAACAGTGACAGTAGTACTGTACAGTGTGACAGATATGACAGTTCACCTCCATGCAGCAGTGCTGTACAGTGTGACAGGAATGACAGTTCACCTCCATGCAGCAGTACTGCAAGTTGTGACAGGAAGGACAGTTCACCTCAGTGCAGCAGTACTGTATGATGTTACAGAAATGACAGTTCACCTCCATGCAGTAGTACTGTACCGTGTGACAGGCATGACAGTTCACCTCCATGGTTTTCCACCCAAAACACATCTAACCATGAGAAAAAATATCCCACAAATATGCAAAGTTCTATATAATAAACTTTCAAAGTCATAAAAAAGAAGTCCAGAAGAGATTTAAGGAATAAAAGTAATGTATCACTCAAGACAGAACCCTGGAACAGTAAATAGGCAGTAAGTGACAAAGGAGTCTAGACAAAGCATGGCATGTAATTAGTAACAACCTATCATTAATGAGTCGTTACTCTGATACTGTACCACAATAATGTACAATGCTAATAAGAGAAATGGTATTATGGGAACTGTGCACTTGCAGTTTTTCTCTAAACTTAAAATCATACTAAAACCTAAAACACACACACACACACACACACACACACACACACACGCACGCACGCACACACACACGCTACGCCTATCAGAGGCTCATGCCTGTAATCCTAGTTACTCAGGAGGCTGAGATCTGAGCACTACAGTTCAAAGCCAGCCAAGGCAGAAACATCAGGAAATATGGACAAGAAACCTCTAAAGATGAGGCTCACAGTAGTTTTTCTGAGTAAATACCACATTTATAGAGTTCCAAATGAGAAAGTGTTAACATTTACTTCAGCAAAATTTCTTCTACCCACCCTCCTCACTGCGGGCCACCAGGCTCCTTTCCCCGCCCACCAGGGCTACAAGGTTCTTGTTTGTGGACCCACAGGAGATCCCAAATACACAGAACAAGCTGAAATGCAATGCTCTAGCACAAAGTAGAACCATTTACTCCAGAATTGTAGGTCCCAAACTCTTTGGTCCCAGGTCCGCAAACCTGAGGACACCAAAGAGTTCATGTATTCTGTAACTACCCATAGCTACCATCTTAGGTATCTAAATGACCATTTAAAAATACTGTTTTAAGCCGGGTGCTGGTGGCTCACGCTGTAATCCTAGCTACTCAGGAGGCTGAGATCTGAGGATCGTAGTTCAAAGCCAGCCTGAGCAGGAGAGACTGTGAGGCTCCTATCTCTAATAAACCACCAGAAAACCAGAAGTGGCGCTGTAGCTCAAGTGGTAGAGCGTTCGCCTTGAGCTGAAGAGCTGAGGGACAGCACCCAGGCCCAGAGTTCAAGCCCCACGACTGACCCAAAAAAAAAAAAAAAATACTGTTTTACTTTAAAATGCAATGAATAGGGTAAACTTACATAATTTAAATCATCTCTGATATACTGTAAATGTCCTATAAAGAGTTGTTATAATTAATGTATTGTTTAGGGAATAATGACAAGAAAAAAGTCTTAGTCAAAAAAACAATCACTGAGGGCTGGGAAGGTAGCTCAGTAGTAGAGGAGCACTTGCCTTGCATGCATGAGGCCCTGGGTTCAATTTCTCAGCACCACATAAGCAAAAAGAAAAAAAGCCGGAAGTGGAGCTGTGGCTCAAGTGGTAGAGTGCTAGCCTTGAGCTGAAGAGCTGAGGGACAACACCCAGGCCCAGAGTTCAGGTCCCACGACGTGACCCAAAAAAAAAAAAAAAAATCACTTAATATCTTCATATTACGGAATCCTTGGCTGGGTGAATCTGCAAACCTATAATCCATGGATCTCAGAGGGCTGCCTATATGTGTAATATATATTTTAATGTACATGTAAATGTTCTGTATACTCTATCTTCCCAATAGGGAAGATCACTTATGATCTAGAACTTCATCAAGTCACCACCAAAACAACAGCAGCATAATTTGTAATACTAAAAGAACCACGAAGGTGGTACCAGTGGCTTGCTTGTGTCTAGAATCACCCCCACCTAACTCAGTACACTGTATATGTTAGTCATACCTGAAAATACATGTTGAACACTTATGTGGAAATGCCAAATATTCCCTTTACTTCTTATCTGTTAGAAAAATGTTGCCTCTCACAGAGTAGAAAAGCCAAAAACAAGCATGTTGTGCCCAACGACAGCAATAATGACTGTGTCCAAAGATATAATCAAAATGTGTTCCTGGATGAGCAGAAACATGGAGATATAATTTCTTATCACTTGCAGGCAGGATGTGTTTCATGCAAACTCAAAGGTGTTACACAGAGAAAAATGTGGTAGGAAAGTTTGAGTCTTGAATTACTCAGTAGGATATGTGTTACAGGATTGGCCCCAGGGCAGGGGTAGTGGGAGGGAGGTGGAACTTTTAGGAGACAGCACCTGGGGGAAGTCTTTAGGTGACTCAAGGAAGGCCCTTAAAGGAGACAGTGTAATCTAGATCTTTCTCTTGCTTACTGGCCACAGGATGAACAGTTCTGTTCCACCATGCACCCCACCATGTAGTGTTCTCTCAGTCCTGAAGCAACAGACCTAACCAATCATGGCCTGGGACCTCCAGAGCTAGGAGCCAAAATAAAGCTTCTCTTTATAAACTGGGTGTCTCAACTATTTGTTACATACAATAAGTGAAGCTGAAGTCAGCTAGTGGAGTAGCTCTCTTTCCCTTACCTGTCTCTAGCCCTTTGCACCTCTGTTACAGGTGGAAAGTAAAATTACACTATCTTTATAAAATTGTTAAGTACCTCTATGTATGTAAGTACTTTGCTTTTCAAGGTCATCTGAAGCCAGGTACATTTTTTTAATACAATTTTATTGTACTATTAAGGTGCTCCCAGAGGGGCCACCATTTCATAGGTCAGGTGATGAGTACATTTCTTTGGACAATGTCACCCCTTCCTTAGCTTTCCCTCAGGTTCCCCCTCCTGTCCCTGCCCACACATTGCACAGTTCATTTTCCACAGTGTATACTGGATACCAGGACTGCATCTGTTCACCCTTCTTCCCTCCCTTTCTTCACCCCCCCCCACCGCAAAATGAAAAAAATCCAAAAGCAAAACCAAACTATAATAACAAAACAAACATTTTTTCCATTTCCAGAAATTGTTTGACAAGTAGTTATTGTTCAGAGGAGTCCGATGATTTGTGTGTGATTGCCTTGAGTCCTGTACAGGTTTTCATGTCCCATTGTAGATCTAGCTTCCTCATATGAGAAATATGTGCTGTTTCTCTCTCTGAGCTTGGCTTACCTCACTTAACATGATTTGTTTTAGGTCCATCCATCTCCCTGCAAATGACCTATTATTAATCTTTCTAATGGATGAGTAAAATTCCATTGTGTATATGTATACATTTTTTAAATCTACTCTATTGTAGGGCACCTGAGCTGTTTCCATTGCTTGCAAACAGTGCAGCAATGAACATGAATGTGCAAGTGTCTTTACCGTATCCTGGCCTGTAACAATCTGGGTTGATGCCCAGTTGTGGTATGTCTAGATCACAGCACTTAAAATGTGTGTGTGTGTGTGTGTGTGTGTGTGTGTGTGTGAAAATTGGATTCTGTGATGAAATTCATTTGAAAGTAACAAGAAACTATTATGTCTTAATTTCATATTATTAAAAGATAATAAGGCTGCCAAGTACTCATGACTCAAGGTTCTAATCCTAGCTACTCTGGAGAATAAAACCTAGAAGATCAGTTCAGGGCTGGGAAGGTGGCTCAGTGGTAGAGTGCTTGCCTTGCATGCATGAGGGCTGGGTTCGATTCCTCAGCACCACATAAGCAGAAAAAGCCAGAAGTAGTGCTGTGGCTCAAGTGGTAGAGCTCTAGCCTTGAGCTGAGGAGCTGAGGGACAGCGCCCAGGCCCAGAGTTCAGGCCCCACGACTGACCCATTAAAAAAAAAAAATCACAGTTCAAATCCAGGCAGAAAAGTCCATGAAACTCAATTTCTAAAATAAAGCAGCAAAAAGTTGGGCTAGTCGCATGGCTCAAGTGTGAGAGCACCAGCAAAGCAAATGCAAATGCAAGGCCAAGTTCAAACCTCAATACTACCAATAAATCAAACCAATTATTGACAATGTCATTAGGATGTGAGGTCATTGATCAAAGGGTCTATGGAGTTATCAGATAAAATACCTAATGAAATTTGGATATTTTATGAAATTTTATAAATGCCAAAATATTGTAAAGATAGCTGGGCGCCAGTGGTTCACACCTGTAATCCTAGCTACTCAAGAGGCTGAGCTCTAAGGATTGCAGTTTAAAGCCAACCCAGGCAGGAAAGTCAGTGAGACTTTTATCTCCAATAAACTACTCAAAAAAAGCCAGAAGTGATACTGTGGCTCAAATGGTAGAGTGCTAGCCTTGAGAGAGGCTCAGGGACAGTGCCCAGGCCCTCAGTTCAAGTCTAGGACTGGCTAAATACAAATTCTTCAGTAAATATCATATTTTGAAATTATAAATTTTATTTGGCAATCGTAGTTATCAGATATACCAAAGAGAACATCATCTTTCATGAACATTCTGAGGTATTTTTCTCACAGAGGATCCCCCCTGCTGACAGCTCCACAGACTTAACACAGACACAATTCTAGATGGGGAGAAAGGAAGAGACAGAATTTTAGTCAAGAATTTCAACTTGCTTGAAGTGGTGATGAAAATTTTTTTTAATTTAGAAATATTCTGGCTCATGATGAATAACTACTTTCTAAATATGACCATGGGAATGAACGAATGGTTTCTCTGCAGGAAGAAAATTGGAACCGAAAATTGGTATGAAGGGAAAGCTAATGTTAAAAACATCATAAACAACATAAAAATATCCTAACAACCTTAGTTCTCTGAGTTCTCCCATACTTGAGAACAGGAGACCAGAAAGGTAATTCAGTGTGCGAGCTTCAAGGGAAGAAAGCAGATCTGGCTGACACCCACCTCGGGGCCACTGCATTGTCTCCTGCGGGGTGGACAGCCCTGGCTTCAGGTCAGATGCTTAAACACTTCAGTCGCTTTCTGTCCCCCCCGCCTCTTCCTTCCATCTCTTTTTGCCCTGCTTTGATCCTGTTGATCCCACCCCTGCCCCCTGTTGATTCCGACCCCTGTAAGGTCGGAATGTCTGCACTGCCAGCACCTGGCCAAAGATTTCTTGACAGAGAAAAAGCGAAGGCTGTAGCCAGAGCTGTGTGTAGATCCAAGCAGGAGCAGCAGCAGCACCAAACACTGGTCTTCTAGCCCTACGGTCATCACACAGACCCAGAGGTTACAAGCATTAACTGCCACACACGGCGAAGATCAGAGACGTATCGTAAATGCGTTCTTCACTTTAAATGAAATTTGGCTTTTAGGCTCCCTTCAAAATCGCCTGATTTGCTTTTCCACGTTTTGGCGCTTAGGCAGCAAGTGGCCCAGTCGATGCGATTACACCAGAGGTCTCCCGCACGGCGCGTCCCCGCTGTCAGAACCAGCGTCCGGCGTCACCGGGCTAAGTAACGAGTATCGCGGCTGGAGAACCGAGACTCCGCGCACACCACCGCCTGCCGGTGCTGCCTAACAGCAGCCTTGGCTGGAGAACCCCGTGTAAGACCTCTGGAGAGCCGGGGCCCGCGCCCTGCAGCCACGCGCCGCTATCCAGGCCAGGCGCCGGGCCGCGGCTTCCCGCCCTCCGCGCCGCCCGGCCCCCGCGCGGGGCCGGAGGTGGCCAGCAGGGCGGGGGGGGATTCCGACCCCGCGGCCCCGAGCGCCCGATCCCCGCCTGGCCCCCGCCCGACCCCGAGCGCCCGACCCCCGCCCGGCCCCCGGCCAGGCACGGGCCCCGGACGCCTCAGAGCCGCGCGCCGCGGGAGCGGGCGCCGGACGTGCGTACCTTCGCTCCGGCCCAGGATGCGGCAGCACAGATTCTGCAGAAGAACGTTGGGCGACTTCTGGTCGGGGGTCGCCATCGTCGCCCCGGGCTGCGCGCGACGGCTTCCTCCGCGCCCCCCGGCTCCCCGGCCCCGGCTACGGAGCCGCCATGTTCGCGGAAGCGGCAGAAGCGCGCGCTTCCCACAATGCCCCACGCCCCGCCGCGGCCCGGCGCAGTGCGCAAGCGCGGCCTCCGGTCCCTCCGCATCCGGTCTCCCCGGTCCCGCCGCAGGTCCCCGGCTTCCGCCGGCGCGCCAAGAAAGTGAGAGGCTGCGAGCCTGGCTCTGCAGCGGCCCCGGAGGGCGGGCCCCCTGTCTGTCAGCCTCACGGGTTCGAGTCCCACGCAGTGGCGAGTCCACGTGGTGCTGGCGCTTTAAGGCTCGTGACAGTGATGCGGGTTTCCCCGCGGCGGCGCAGGTGGCGAGCGAAACGTGGCGGCCCGGCCCCGCCGCGCCCTGCCCCTCAGGACCCGCGGCCTGCGGGGTAGGGGCCCGCGGTGCCTCGGCGCGGGTACGGCCCGAGGGGCGGCTGGGCGAGCCTGCGGCTAGTGTGAGGCGCCTGGGCCGTGGGGTCGGGGTCCCGCCCCGGAGGGCGTGCCCTCGTGAGCCCGTTGCTGTCGGATGGGCCACCTGCCCCTGACCGGATCGCCCGCCCCTGGCCGCCCCTGACCGGATCGCCCGCCCCTGGCCGCCCCTGACCGGATCGCCCGCCCCTGGCCGCCCCTGACCGGATCGCCCGCCCCTGGCCGCCCCTGACCGGATCGCCCGCCCCTGGCCGCCCCTGACCGGATCGCCCGCCCCTGGCCGCCCCTGACCGGATCGCCCGCCCCTGGCCGCCCCTGACCGGATCGCCCGTCCCTGGCCGCCCCTGACCGGATCGCCTGCTCCTGGCCTCCCCTGGCCGGTTCTGTGGAGAGCATGCTGCTGCCTGGTCAGCGGAGCCAGTGGTCGAAGCGGAGCGGAGACGTCCTGTGTTCGGCCCGGACTTCAGGGCAAACCCAGCCTCCTCCCAGAGCCCGAGATCGGCCTTGGTGGCCCAGCCTGCTCGGTACAGGCTCAGTGGGTGGCTCTCTGTCAGAAGGTCCCGCAGTGACTCCCGCCCACTCGGTCTGGTTCTCTGCCGTCCCTGGATGATAGCCACCTGTGCACTGCTCGGCCTCGGGACCGCCTGTCCCACTGCCATCACTCAGGTCACCAGTTCTGTGTTCGGTCCTGGCTGCTTCTGCTTTACTGTCTGGTCTCTTGCACGCGGATGACACGTCACGTCACATGACGGTAACCCTCAACACGTGAGAGCCCCAGAGTGGCGTGTCGTGTTATACACGACTGCTGAGACCCAAGTGCCGGTCGGGAACCAGCAGCTGCGCCAGCTGAGTGTGTGGGTGGCTGACAAGTTGTATACTGAAGCGCATTCAGAAGCCATGGGCCTTGACATGTCCGGCTCCAGGTTCAGTCATCCTACCAGGGAACTCACTACAACCCTGAAAGATCTCTCAGCCTTGCTCTTCAGAACTAAGGACAAGACTTGAACTTGGCACACTGGCCAAGCAGGGAGGTGTGAGGCAGGCTGAGTGTGCTGTCCTGATACATGTTTAAAGCATCAGCTGAGAAGCAGGATCCTGAGGCTTGTCAGAGGCATTTGGGTTAAGTTTAAACCTTAAACATAGCACACAGCTGCCCTTCCTGTATCCCCAGAGATGCCCTGATTTCCAGGAGCAACCAGCTTGGATATTCTTGCAGCAAACAAGTAACAGAATTCCAAAGGATTCAATTTTAAAAAAAAAAAAAAGGAAGGGGTAGGATGAACCAAAATTATCATTTCCCTTTTAGGTTATTTTGGGTGTTTTGTCATAGTGAGGGAAAGCTAATATCTTCATAGCTCATTCCATGAGAGTAGAACTACTGTAATCAAAATATGAGGAAGACATAGAAAAAGAAAACTACATCAACTCCCTCTTTACCTAGATGTCAACATTCTAAACAATGTTTTAATCTACCAAATCCAACAATGGGCAAAAAAAAAAAAAAGGCAATACATGATCAAGAAAGTATCATAAATGAACCAGACCTGCTGGCTTGGATTTCTAGCATCCACGACTGGGAGGAAAGTCATTTCTGTCATTTACACCCCTGTTTATTGTATTTATTATAGATGTTCAACTGACAAACACACCAGCAATGGAAGGCTGCTCAAAATTCAAAAGCCAATGTTATTAAAGTAAAAAAAACTGTCAGATCATCTCAGTCAATGCAGACCCTTTGACAGAAATCCAGACTCCATTCTTCATTTATTAAAGAAAAAAGAACCCTCCAGCTGAGCACTGACTCATGCCTATAACCCACCTCGATCCTTCAGATATGGAGGACGAGAGGTTGAGGCCAACCCAGAAGAACAGTTTGAAAGACTAAACCTGCAGCTGCTTGGGAAGCTAAGATTGAAGGGCCCTGGATTAATGTGAACCTAGACAGGACATTCCACTGAGATTCCCTCTGCAAAGGGAAGCTGGACTCAATGACAGGTAGTCTAAAGTAGGTAGATCATAGCTCGTGTGCAACCCCTGGTAGGAAAGTGAGACCCTACCCCCAAAAATTTCCAGTGAAAAGGCTAGAGGCATGGATCCATGGTATCAAGCCAACCAAGCAAACATGAGAGGCTCTGAGTTTTCAACCACAGATCCACCAAAAAGCAAACAAAACCCTCCAAGTTAGAAATAGAGGGAACTTTTCATAAATATGAAGATACCTACCAAAATACAAAAACATTCACTAAATACTTTGTACCATAGAGAGAGTCAATGCTTTCTCTCCAAGAATATTCATTATTGAAGAAATAGATAGGAAATCGGGACAAGGAAAACACATATGGAAAGGAAGATAGGAAACAAAACCTATTTTGTTTGGCCAGGTGTATACAGAAAATCCCGTGGAATCTGTCAAAAAGCTTCCTGAAGTAATAAGAAAAGAGTTAACAGGGCTGAACTGAAGGACATAAGATCAACAAAAATCAATTATATTTCTATAAACTAATAGTGGGAGGTACAGTCAAAAGGACTGTGATTTCCAAGGCCACCCTGAAAAAGGTATCAAGACTTTATCACAAAAACAGAAGGGCTAAAAGTATAGCTCAAGTGGTACAGTGCTTGCCCAACGTGCACAAAGCCCTGAGTTCAATTCCCAATATCACAAAGAATTGATGAATAATAGAAAAATTAAGATTTACTTTCATTTCAAAAAAAACATGAAGTAGGGGTTCATCTGACTTAAAATATGCAAGATTTGCACACTAAATACTACAACTGTATGAGAGAAATTAGAAGAAACGTACATGAGTGGAGAGACACTGTCAGGCATGGTAGTACACACCGTAAATCCAGCACTTGGGATCACAAGTTTGAGGCCAGTCTAGACTACATACTGCAAATTTAACATAGGAGAGACGAGAAAAATACTATGGTTACATAGTAAACCAAAATATCTCAAAAATTGCATCAAATATAAATGGACACTAATTCCACAGAATTACTTCAACCATCAAGGTTGATCAGGTTGACTTTGATCTCCTGGTTGAGCAACTGCTGCAGGTTTTCTCCATTGTAAAGCTATTTTTTCCTATTCCTTTCCCTACTGTGCTCTTCAGGAAAAACAACAACAACAACAACACTGCCCAGCCCATGCTTGATGGCCTAGGAAGTTATACTCCATTCCTCTAAATATCTACAGAAATTATATGAGACATTTCTCTCTTATTTCCTCCCTGTTTTTTCCTTGCCTGTTTTTGCAATAACTTATTTATATCAGCATGTACTCAGGTCCTTATACACCAGGTAATAGTCCACCACTTCCGACTTTATTGTTCACAGTACTCCTGACCTGACCATTTGCACACTTCTGGTTTGTTCCTGTATTCTTCTCACCTTCCCCTACCATTGTGAGCTTAAGAAATAAGTAATTGTAGCTGGGTGTTGGTGGCTCATGCCTGTAATCCTAATTACTCAAGAGGCTGAGATCTGAGGTTTGTGGTTCAAGCTAGAAGTGGAGCTCTGGCTCAAATGTCAGTACAGGCCTTGAGCAAAAGAAGCTCAGTGACAACATCCAGTCCCAGCACCAAAATAAATGAATAAATAAATAGGAAAGAAAAAGAAATAGGTGTTCATCTGTATACACAAGGCCTTGGGACCAATCCCCCAGAACCACAAAAGCTAATAATTAGTGCTATTTTTCATACCAGTTTAGACTTACAGACAAATGGGGCAGACAGCACAGAATCCAGACACCTGTGCCATACTCCTGGCATGCAGCCGCTAGCGTGAGTGTAGGGTATTGGTTACAAGTAACAAGTGCTGGGGATACAGCAGTACTAAAGTAGAAGCTTACATTGCCCAGGGCCTCAGAAAGAGGCTCTGCATTTGTGTACACATCCTGGCACCTACAAAAGGACCGCTTCATCAGAAATACTAAGAGGTTGTATCCAAATGCAGCTACAAGAAAGGGAAAAATAGTCACACTGCCTAAACTTGAAGCTTTCTGATTAATGAGGTTTTAAGACACACCCCACCAATGGTTGGCTAAAACTAGTGAATTCTATTTCAAATTACAATTGATCTACACATTTATATTAACTTTTCTTTCAGAACATTATAATGATTGTTGTGAAATCAGACCAACAGGTTATAAAACCTCAATTAGATGTTAGATAACTCATATCTTTTAGGATGCGGCTATTAAGCAGTTGGAAGAGATGGATACTAATTTCAGAGTTGAAAAGTCTTTCAACCCACGTTCTATTATCTTAATTTGTAAATTTATAGGGGATTTTCTTGGCATTGATTTTCAAAGGCTGCCGTTTGACAAGACTATTCCACATGCTGCTAGGACAGAAACCGTTCGCTGCCTGCTGAAGTCACCTCTCCTCTTGTTTATGAGAAGCTTGTGTTTTCCTGTGTTGGAACTCCTGCAGGTGTCTGTTGTGAGGCAGACAAGTTTTATGGGATGTTGTTCAATTAGACCATTTCTTCTTTGATTCTAAGAGGACTTTCATCTTAAACACTACTTAAAAACAGACACACATGGTTTTTCACAATGGTGATGAAAAATCTTTGTTAAGACACAAA